GGGGGGGGGGGGGGGGGGGGGGGGGGAAGGGAACCAATCAATCACACAGACACCATTCCATTCACCAACGTGCTGTGTGTGGGAGTGCAGTCATCACTACCTCCCCCCTCCCCTCCCCTCCCCTACGTACCTGTGTGTCGAATTCTGGTGAGGTGTTGGCGACTTTGATGGCCTCGAGGATGTCGCTGTCCTTGACCCCTGCGTCAGCGAGGAGGTCTTCCGGCTTGAGCAGCCTGCCCTGGTGCTTGAGGCTCAGTTCTGCCGGATCCAGACCCGTCTTCTTAGCCAGCTGCTCGCGCAGGGACGACACCGTGTCGCCGCTCAGGCGCATCTTGCGACCCCTCCACGCCACTCGGACACTCACCACCTGTCCCAGTAGACAGACAGACAGTACAGCGGGGAGAGGAGATGGTTGTATATAAGGAAGGAGATCTATGCTGCTATACACGTTTTGTGTGATGTGATGGTCACTCCACTCACCTTCTCTGCATCAGCCACCACACTGCAGATGACGGCGCACAGCGCTCCCACAAGCGCCGTCCAGCCGATCACCAGCTTCATTTTGCAGACACACAAAGATTAGCGGCAAGAAATGGCAAAGAAGCAGCTGCAGCAGCTGCACAGAGCCTGGGGAACACGAATGCACCGCGAGAACGCCTCTTGCTGCGAGCGAGAGAGCGGTTCCACGGAATGTCCTAAGCGGCCTGACGGCCAAGCGAGGAAGCTGCGAGCTTTGAGCACGGGCAGCTGGTATCGCAGCACAGATATGAAGGCATTGAGGCCTTTGAGTGTGCCGCCGAGGCGACCTCTGCCTCCATTCGCGACAAAACCCTCGGGTCCCTCGCCGTCGGCCGCTGGCCGGTCGGCGCCTCCCAAACCACAGAAGAAGATGCCACCACCTTCGGCACAGAAACGTCGGAAGGCCCACTCTGACCCGTAAGCCCAGCAAATGAAGATTCCAATGGTGGCATGGCAACACGGCTGAATCCACTCCACAAGTTGTTGTTTGCTGTACCAGGCGGAGTGCGAGCAATGTTGTGCAGTCGTTTCTGAGCAAACAGGACGATTTTGTGGCCGAGGCCGACCGACAGAAGGTGACGGAGCTCGAGGCATCTGCAGATTGCAATGGGGGGCCCTGACTGAGGATGCTCCCGTCCGAGGGGTGTGTCTGTGCGTGTGTGTGCGTGTGTTGTGGCCACCAGGTCCGTGATGTGTTGCGCAAGGTGCTGGCCAAGGGTCTTCTCGAGATGAAGCAAGCCGGCACACTCAGGGAGGCCAAAGTCCGAGACCCACAGGTGCGGTGCGCACGGTCGCTCGTCCTCTTCCACGATACACACACATCAAAGACATCCTGCACTACGGATCCCTCTCTCTCTCTCTCTCTCTCTCTGTGTGTGTGTGTGTGTGTGTGTGTGTATGGTCACCGACCAATCGTTCTGTCTGTCTGTCCCCCCTCAGGACTACGCCCGTCGTATCGAGGACACGTTGTTCAGCCGCTACTACCGCACCGCCACCGAGTACAAGAAACGCGCTCGGGTGCTCAAGTTCAATCTCGACAGCGCCAAGCCCGAGGTGAGTGAGGTGGAAGGGGCGAAGCAGACAAGACATACAGACAGACAGACAGACGGGGATGTCTGTGTGGTGTTGGTTGGTTGGTCGTCAGAATTCGTCAGTGCGCCGGCGGGTGCTGACGCTGCAGCTGTCGCTGGATGACCTCGCCTTCAAAGCCACGGCCAAGGTAAGCAACGGCCGGCAGCGGAAGCAGCAAGCTCTCACTCTCGGCCCCCTCGTCAGGACTTGGCTCCCGATTCGTTGGCTCAGCGTCGCAGCGAGTTGCACGAGCAGCAGCTGCAGAACTCACTCATCACCGACAACATGATGCCGCGGAAACGGACAGTCATGGTAAATAAACCAGCCAGTCAGTCAGACAGACACGCAAAGGCCAGTCGAAACAACACTCATCACACCTCTCTCTCTCCCCCTGTTCCTCCTTCCTCCCCATCCACACGCCGACAGGATGCCAAGCGCACTGGCGGCATAGACGAGTTCATGGAGTCCACCGACTCGTTTGGGCCCTCTCGCGCCTCACCCCCTGCCCCACCCCCCCGTCCTCACCACCCCGCCCCTCACAAGAAGCGAGAGAGAGACGAGGATTCCGACAGCGACGGCGTCTCTGTGATAGAGATCGATATGGACGAGATCATCCGCGATGCGCAGACCAACATGGCCAACTCTGGGGGGCCAGGGGGTGCCGCTGCCGGGGCTCCTGCGGCTGGTGGCGGTAGTGGTGGTGGTGTGGACAAGGGCATGACAAAGGCGCGTCAGGCCACCAGCCTGAAGGTGGTCAAGAAGGACCTGGGCAAGCTCAAGGGTGCGATGAAGAGCAAGCCGTCTCAGCCACCCTTCAGCAAGGGCGGCCCGTCCGCACAGAGTGGTGGCAGGAATAAGCCGCTGCCCTCGCCATCCCGGTCGTTGCAGCCCAACACGAAGCGGCCCGCCGCCAAGGTGCCGGCCAAGAAGCGCGCAGCGATACTCATCCGCCAGGACGACATCGTGCCCAAGAAGAAGAGCGGCCCGGCTGGTGGCAGGGATGCAACACTCGGGGTGGTCGAGGGCGGCCCCCCTGACCTCACACTGCACCCCGACAATCCGGGTGGGTGATGTGGGGTGGGCGAGGTGAAACAAACAGACATGAGGTTCCATCCATGCACTGCGCACTGGTGTCTTTGTTGTCTTGTGTCTTGGTGTGTGTGCTGTAGAGGTGATCAGCCGGCTGCTGGCATTGCTCAACCAGGGGGAGGAGGGGGGCGGCGGGGTGGGGGGCAAAAAGAGGAGGATAGCGAACGGTGTGAGTGAGGGCAGGGGCGAGGAGAAGAAGGCGCGCGTGGGTGCTGTGGGTGCTGGTGTGGGCGCTGGGGTGTCGCGGTCGTTCAAGGCTGAGATGGAGATGCTGAGTGTGCGACGGCACGCAGAGGACGCCCCTGAGGTCGAGAAGCGCCTCGATGCGCTCTTCTCCACCACACCTGAACTTGACGAACTCATGGAAGGTACGGTACGCTCGACACACAGACAGACATGTCGGACACAACAAACCACACACACCCACTTGAACCACATGTGCACATCGACCATCCTCACACCCACCTGTGGTGTGTGCTGTGTGTTGTGTGTCCACAGGCGACGAGACGCCTCCCCCCGCACCGCAGTCGCCCTCCCTGTCCATCGCAAAGCCTCCCACACCCCCACCTGCACCCGCACCTGCACCTGCACCCGCATCGGCATCGTCGCGCGATGAGGCCATGTCCACCGGCTCACCGCAGTACAGCCCCAGCAAGGCCATCCTGCCCGGCTCGCGACTCGCCTTAGATGCGCCTTCCGAGAAGGCTGACGAAGAGACCACCAAGGCGCTGGAGGTGGGGTTGGTTAGCTCTCCACCTGTGCCCGCCCGCATCATGCTGTGTGCTGTGTGCTTGCCCGGCCCGTGCCAATGAATGTGTTGCTTGCAGGCCCTGTTTCGCGTTGGCGAGAAGCAGCAGCAGCAGCCGAGCAGTGCCGCGGGTGTGGGGGTGGGGGGTGGTGCCGTGCTGTCGTCGTATCGGCCCACTGCCCCCATGTCGGTAGCTGCGCGCAGTGGTGGTGGCGGTGGCGTGCGGGTCGATTTGCCTGGCGGTGTGAGTGAGGAGGAGGTGAGCAAGTGCGGTGTGGATGCAGTGGCCAAGCGACTCATAGACAGCGTCAAACAACTGGACGACCCGGCCAGGTACAAACACACACATCCTCTCTCCGTGTCTTCTTGTATGTGTGTGCGCGTGTGTGTGCGCGCGTGTACTGTCAGTATGGCATATCATCTTGGCCGGCTCTTGGCTCGACGCGACGGACTGGTGTAGCCCCCCTCGGTGTCTGTCTATGCCCGTGAGTGTGCGTTGCGTGAGTGATGTTGACGTAGGGGTGGGCGGATGGATGGAAGAAAGAATCGACAGCAAGGCAAGACAAGAGCCATGCCACCCCCCCATTCATCTATCTCATTTGTCAAGCCGCCTTTTTCGCCTGGCCACACACGCAATCCAATCCAGCGAGCGATCGATCCACCACACGTACGTACGTCCTTACACACACCCGCAAGATCCGATTCTCCCGACGGACATACACACACACTCACTCTCCAGACCACCGAACCGAACACCACTCCACGGCAGTGTACCAGTCTGTCTCACTTACTCAGTTACTTTTTCTTCTTAGCCCCCGCCTTGGCCTTGGCCTTGGCCTTCTTCTTCCCCTTCGGCTGCGGCAGCTTCGTGCCCAACACCTCCGCACAAGCCACCGTGTGCTCGTACAGCTGCCTCCCGGTCTTCACACACACACACACACACACACACAGAGAGAGAGAGAGAGAGGGAGAGCACTCATTGTGTGTGAAGTAAGATAAGAATGTCTGTGTGTGTTCCTACGAGCCACAAAGGGGGCGGCAACAAGTCCAGCAGATGCCTGTGCCCATTCTCCCTGGCCCAATACGAAGCATTCCTCCCGCCACTGTCCCGCGCATTGCCGTCCGCTCCATGGGCCAGCAGCAGCTTCGTCAGGTCCGTGTTGCCAAGCCTGCAGGCGACGTGGAGAGGCGTCTGCAGGGTGGCATTGGGGGTGCAGGGGTCGGCCCCGCGAGACAGCAAAAGCGATGCCGTCTGCACGTGGCTGTTGAAGCATGCCAAGTGGAGGGGCGTGTTGCCGCCGATACTCGCCGACTCCTGGGCGTCGACCTCCGCTCCCTTTGCAATGAGGAACTCGCACAGCTCCCTCTTGCCTTCACGCGCCGCTAGGTGCAGGGCGGTTGTGCCCATGACCGACTTGGCCTTGACGTCGGCCTGCTGCGCGACGGCTGTGGCCTCCTTCTGGGCATCCTGCCCCGGCGAAGAGGGGGGACCGAGCAACAGATACAGGTGCTGCACTAACAGAGAGACGACACAGCTGTGTGCCTTGTGCTTTTTCTTCTGAATCGCTCACCTCGGTGTCGTGGATCTCTACCGCGTGAAAGACCAGCCGGTTCGTCATTGCGTCGGTGTCCCTGACTGGGGGAGACTGGGGGTCGTGGGGGCGTCGAGCTAGCGTCGAGAATCGCGAAGAGCGAGCTACGAAAACTGTTCTCGAGAGCAGGGAGCCTTTCCCATCCCCCCCGACCTTCATCGGATCCGTAACACTGTCCTTGTCTTCGGGGTGAGGGGAGGGGTGAGATCAACGCCGCGCCAGCCTCCCACCACAACGCTCCGAGCGCTGCAGACCCCAGGAGGTGCACCGGGTGAGGCACAGGCGGGGGGAGGGTGCTTGATCTCCCAGCAGGGGCGACAGGGTGTGTCCCGCCTTGATGTCTGATGCCTGCAGGTGGCTGTGTTCGGGGTGAGGGAGGCAGCCGTGCGGCCTGCGGACGCTGCAACACCACAGGTGCACATAGATGCGATGCGATGCCCGCACAACGGACACGGGGACAGGCCAGGCCTTATGACACTTTCTGCTGTGTGCCTGTGTGTGTGCCTCAGGTGTGCACTAGTGTGACTGACGCGAGGCGACGCTGCGCAGCCCAGCGCAGCGGCCAGCGGCCACCACGACCATGTCGTGTTCGTTGTCGTCGTACCTGAGCCAGCTGCCGGACAGCGACTTCACCCCCCCTCCCGGCTACAATCCCCTGAGCCCCCATCCGCACCGCGAGACACCGCCGAATGCCATCGACCTGCCCACCGACATATGGCTGCGCGTCGGCGAATGCGTCGACGGCTCGGGCCTCATGAAGCTCAAGTGCGTCAACCCAAGCATACGACACGCCATCCGCCTCTGCGACGACCTCTGGCGCCGCTGCGGCGCGCGGGAGTTCCCCCGGAACTGGGTGGACGGCCAGGCCTCAGGCAGTGGGAGCCATGCCCCGCCCCACCAGCTGCCCCACGCGCCGCCGTCGATGCTGCCTGTGGAGGCGGTGGGGTGCGCCGAGAGCTACCGGGAGCTGTGGAAGAGCAAGTGCAAGAAGCGGCGGCGGATGAAGCGGCTGGTGCAGGTGCTCAACGAGAAGCCGTCGTGGTACCGGTGCCTGGTGCACCTGCTGCTCGAGAGGGACATGTTTGGCGTCGACTGCGTGGAGCACCTGCTGCCCATGATGCGCGACCAGAACAGACTCGACCTGGCCTACGTCGCCCGCAAGTTCGGCTGGTTCCTCCTCAGGTGCAAGTGCGGCTACCTCATCGACAAGGCAAAAGGTAAGCTGAGAGAGACATTGGGAGAGAGACAGGGAGAGGGAGAGAGGCAGGTTCTCGTGTGTGTGGTGTGTTGTGGTGTGTTTGTTGGACAGATCTGGTTGAGGGTGCGTTGATTCTGTCGAAGCTGCACGATCCGGCGTCGGAGCCGTCGATCGTCTTCGATGGCGAACTCACCAGTTTCCTGCAGAAGCACTCGCTGCACAACCTCCAGGCCAAGGGCAGGGAGTACCAACTGCCCGTCGACAAGGACCTCAACATCATCACCGACAAAGTCAGTAGTGCCTTACATGCACACACACACACACACACACACACACGGGGAGAGAGAGAGAGAGTGTGTGTTTGCCCATGGAGGGATCCGTGGATGAGTCGATGGACGTGTGTGCGTGTGGCCGGGTGCGGTGCAGGTTAGCGATGCGATGCTGCGGACCAAGGCGCGTCACGACCGTCGCTGCCTGGAGATGCTGTCCAAGGCGTGGCGCGACGAGGCCTTCCAGGGCAACACCGACAGCTACTACGTTCCCGACAACTCATTCGTCCACAGAGTCGCACAGACCAAACGGGTCAGCTGACTGACTGACACAAACACACAACACACTGCACTGCATGTGTGGGTGTGTGGGTGCGCGCGTTGGATGATGGCTGCAGGGGATCCCCATTTCGCTATCCATCGTGTACCTGGCCATGGCGCGCCGCGTGGGAGTCGACCTCATACCCATGAACTACCCCGGTAGGTTAAGTACTGACTGACACACAGTCACAATCGCATATATGCGCCCATCCATGTGTATGTGTATGTGTGTGGATGGATCTGATCCATACATTCGTTAGGTCACTTCATGCTGCTGTGCCGGCCGTTTGGGGGTCCATCTCGCTTCAAGACTCGCGACGAGTACCTCCGTTTGGTGGGCCGCTGCGACGCCATGAACCTCAACCTCGTCATCGACCCCTTCAACGGCGCCGGTACGCAGCCCTCACACACAGCCCTCACACACACACACACACACTCTGTCGCAATGATATTTATTGGCTGCAGCGGTTCACCCATTGAACGAGGCGAGTCGTGCGCTGGAGGGCGTGTTGCTGACCCACTCGTTCCGCACGGTCATCCACCGGACGTGCCTCAACCTCCTGCACATCTACAGGCAGGGCCAGTTCTGCAACGTCAAACGACTCCTAGGCGTCGTCGAAGTCATCACCTGCAACCGGTAGGTACACCACCACCACCCACACCGAACAGCCCACTCCACTCAGTGGCATGAAAGCGGCTTCTTCCTTGTTCCTATGTATGTTGTGGTGTCTGTCTGTCTGTCAGGGATGCGCACCTGCGTGAGCTCGGCCTGACGATTCCCAACGGCGGCAGCGTGGTGACCTACGACCTGCCGACGACGGCCGACCCCGACTCAGCCCCCACACCCAACAATGGCGGCGGCAGTGTGAACGGCAACGGCATGCCTCTGGCACTCTCACCCACCGTGACATCACACCACTCACACTCACACCCACCCGCCGGCCTCCCGCAGTTCAGCCTGCCCCCGTCCATGGCGTCCTTCACCTCTCACACATCGGCCGTGTCGTCGGCCAGCGATGGCAGCGGGACCAGCATGACCACGCACAGCATGGCCACCACCACTACAAGAAGCAGGAGGGGCGGGATGACCCGCACCAACGGCAGTGAGAGTGCGGCATCCCTCAGTGGCAACAGCACCGGCAGCAGCGGCGGCAGCAGTGAAGATGGTGAGGAGGGGGCGACGCAGAGGGAGCCCAGGGGGGAGGCGGTGCGGGCCATGGTGGCTGACAGGAACCACCTGCTGTGCATGAAGGCACAGGTGCGTCAGGGGGGAGGGCAGCGAGGGAGCTAGGGATGCATGGGAACATACGGAACGGAGTGACCTGCATGTCTGTCGCTGTCTGTCTGTGGTCAGGTGCTGCACATGGCTGGTTTCTCGTGTGAGGCCAACGAGCTCGTCAAGACGCTCCCGGACTCGCCAAACATGCCGCTCGGCTCTCTCAGACAGCGGGTACGGAACGGAAAACACACAGCATCCCCCTCTCACACGCATATCACCTTGTCGAAAACCCCTTGTCTTGTTGGTCCATGTCTTGTCTGTCTCAGGCGGCCCGTGAGTGTGAGCGCATCAACGCCCGCCGGCAGGCCATCGAGTCGGATGTGCGGCGCATCCTCACCCTTCCACCCACAGAGGGCGAGCGCCTCTTCCTCTCAGAACTCGCCTGGCTCACCAAACACAGACCCCTCGACCAGGAAGGGCCACAGGCGGACCACCACCAGCACCACCACGCCGGGCCCCCCACACACAATAGCCACGACACCCCACACACGGACGACAGCGGCAGCAACCGCGCCCCCACCCCTGCCCCCTCCCACACTCCTGGTCAGCCGCCATCGGGACCGTCCGGCTCGGCGCCATCAGCCAAGCGTGAGGGCTGTGTGGCGTGCCGGGACTGTGCGGGGCGACGTCGCCACCAGCGGCATGCCACGGCCGGCGCTGCTGTGGCTGCGGATGGCGGTGTTGGTGGTGTGCGTGCGGAGGGTTCAACTGTGCAGCTGAACAGCAAGGCGGGCTGGTCCCGGCAGTGCGTCAAGGGGGACCACCCCTGCACCTCACCTGCATGCCCCTGCCGCACCGTCGGAGCCGAGGTTGGCATCCTCTTCGTCAGCAACTCGACCAGGGACAGAGACAGAGACAGAGACAGAGACAGGGAGAGGGAGAGGGACGACCTTACCCACACCACCCACACGCAGACACACGCCCCCGACGCAGTGGCAGCAGCGGACAAGGACGCTAAGAGGCAGACCGATGATCGACGTGACGAGGGAGAGGGAGAGGCATCTGGAGGGGCTCTGGGGGGCGTGTCGGCGCCTTTGTCCCCCCCGCCGCAGAACGTTCGGTGCTACAGCATCGAGTGGACCTCCCACCGGCAGACGCTCACCGTCGGGTGCGGCGACGACCACCGCGCAGACGAGAAGCAAGACTCTGGCTACTCTGCCGGGCCGCGCAGGTGCGTCAGCATGCGACCAGACGACGATGGCGACGGCGGCGAGGAGCTGCTGCTCTTCACCGGCGGGGCGCCCTCCCCTCTGCCTTTGCTCGCCCTCTCCCCCTCTGGCAGCCAGCACGACCCCAACTTGCCCGACTGCTCGTGCGGCGACTGCCCGGTCGGCACACACGCCGAGATCGAGAAGAACCACAAGCTCTTCTTCCCCAAACCCAAGACGCCCCCCTCCTCTCCCCGACAGCCCGCACCGGCACCGGCAGACGCACCCACCCCCCCAGCCACAGCCACAGCCACAGCCACAGCCACAGCCGCAGCCCCCTCCGCGCGGCAGCACAAGGCGCGGCTCAACCTGGAGATCGACTCGGACCTCGACGACGAGGAGGACGACGACAGTGCCGACGGCAAGAGCAAGAGCAAAAGCAGAGACAAGGGTGGGAGGGGGAAGGAGAGGGAGAGGGAGAGGGGCGATCGTGTGCTTGGCTCGCCAATGCCGTTTGCCGACCTGTTTGGCGGCGACACGCGGCCCCCGCACGAGAGGGAGATCTGCAAGGCCGACCGGCAGCTGACCAAGCGGTCCAACAAGCGGCTCGTCAAGACGCGCGCCAACCCGTTCGGCGTGCCCGCCGAGCAGTTCTTGCGCGAGAGGGAGGCGGCCATGCAGCAGGGGGCTGGGGGCGCTGCTGGGGCTGGTGGTGGTGGTGGTGTCGTGTCTGACGGGGCAGGGAGTGGTCTGCGGCTGCAGTATTCGATAGGCCAGGTGTTCCGGCACCGCAAATACCGATACAGGGGAGTCATCTTCGGATGGGACGCGCGGTACGTACGCACCGAATGATTTGAATGACGCACAGAGGCGGGTGGATGCCATCCATCCATCCATCCATCCATCGTGTCGGACGGCCCGTCTCTCTCTCTCTCTCTCTGTTCTCTCTCTCTCTGTGTTCCTTCAGGTGCCAGGCGACAGAGCAGTGGAAGACCCGCATGGGCATCCGCAAGCTGCCGAGGGGCGAGGACCAGCCCTACTACCACGCACTCGTACACCCAGAGGACAGACCCGACATGCCACAGGTAGCCACCCCCCCCCCACCACCAGCAGCACCACGCCCATAAAACGATACATGTGTGTTGTGTGATGTGTGTTGCCAGTTTTACGTGGCCGAGGTGAATGTAGAGTTGGTGCCTGCCGACGAGCTGGCGAGCGACTTCGACTTCCCGCACGAAGACGCGGGCAAGTACTTCTCGGCCTTCGACAAGGACACTCTCAGATTCGTCCCTAAACCTGCACTCTCCAACAGGTCAGTCAGTCACTTAACCACTTAACCATTTACTCAAGGGAGGCATGGCCTGCAATGCACTCACTGACTGTCCTTGTTGTGTGTGTGGTTCTTGGATGGATCAGGTACCCTGACGGTTGACTGGGCCGGGCCGGGCCGTGCACATCCACGAGGGAGGGAGGGATTGGTGGGGGCATAACCTCATGACATGAGGGATGACAGCGACACCGACCATTGTCTGGAGGGGCGGGATGGGCCCACTTGTCTGTTGGTTCGTGTCGTGCATGTGTGTGTGTGTGTGTGTGTGTGTATCATCAGCTGGCCAGGCAACGCACCACCGACTTTGAGTTTTTTGCCAATGCATTGAAAGGGACGAACACACAGCTAGACATTTAACGAACGAGTGATGAGAGGAGAGGAGCGAAGGGGAGGCGGGCAGGGCAGGGCAGGGCAGAAAGACACAGGAGAGAGAGAGACAAGCGAGATGTGATGAGTTTATTGACGGCCGCAATGAATGAAGGGGCCCGACTCGCCCCACGAAGCGGCAAAGTGATAGATATGTGTGTGTGTGTGAGAGAGAGAGAGAGGGTGTCTTCTCTTCCCTTGGCCTGCATCCCGGTTTGCCTGCCTGCCTGATGATCCATCCATCCATCCGCTCGATTCTTTTTCGCCGCCGGATCGACTGATCCATGTGCTGCATGGCATGCATGTCGTCTTTTCGTTCGTATCTCCCCCTGTCTGCCTGCCTGCCTGTTGTGCATGTGTGTTGATTGATTTTGCTGTGCGATTTTGCCCTTGAAAGCTGCACATGAATCAAGACAAAGTGGGGATGGATGGATGGATCGATGGATTGACGTGTGACTGTCTGTGTGGGTGGGTGTAAGTAACTACTGAGTAATGTGCCTATCAAGCTACAGCTTGGCACATCATCCCTCCCTCCATCCCTCCCTCCGTCAAAGTGTCAAAGTGAGTGTGGTGTTATAGCCTGAGCGTGTCCATTGATTCATGTGTATGTGTATGTGTGTGGGTGTGGGTGTCGCGAAGAGGAGGGTGGGGTGAGATGGGGTGGGATGGGGCGAGTTTTGAGCTGATGGTGGACGAGACGGGGGGAGGACAGCCAGCCGATGGGTGGGTGGTTTCGCTTCGCATTCACCGCTTCGTTTCCTTCGTTTCAACATGCTTGCCAGCTAGCTATTCATGACATGCTGCGTGTGCATGTGTCATGTGTGTGTCATCTACCTCATCCATCGTACTACGTCGTGTGTGGCGGCCCTCTTGCCTTCCTTGTTGTGCTCACGAATGGCAGCACAGCACAGCACAGCACCAGGCAGGCAGAGAGAGCCCATCTCACAGCGGTGCATTCCCGCTGTGTGCCGACTTTTTCGGTCTCATTCGATGATGGAGTGTTTTTGGTGTCGAGAGCACAGCACAGCACCCGCGCCGCGCCGCGCCCGACAGACAGACAGACAGACAGACAGACAGACAACGGAAGCACGTGGAGCGAGTTTTTCCATTCCACCTGCTGCCCTGCATGAACCGAATCGAATCGATGAGCCGATCTGAATGTATAAAGAACGTTTGGCTTGACGAGTTTTTCATGCCATCCATCCATCATGCGTCGTGTTGGTGTGTGGTGCATGTGTGTGTGTGTGTGTGTGTGTGTGCCCGGCTAGGCTACCTGGTGTCGAGAAGAGACACAAACAGCCGTGTACGCTGTGTGGCTGGGAAAGAGGGAAGGGAGTTGTATGGGGTGGGTGAGCTTCTGGAGCGGAGGGACTGTCTGTCTGTGGGGTGTGCGTGTGCGTGGGATCAGCCAGCCATCGATCCCTTCACTCACTCATACGCCTGGCTGCCTCACCCACCTGGCTGTGATTGACGTGACGCGTGCAGCTAGAAGTCTTTGTGTCGGTCATCCATCAGTCAATCGGCAAATCGGCAACTGCCTACCTACCTGCTTGCTTCACACACACGGAAAAGATTGTTACACTCACTCATTCACTTACTCTCCTCGTAATTGTGAGAGGAAAGGTGCCTCTCGACTGACTGGAACGATTGACTGACATGGGCGCTGCCTGCCTGCCTGCCTGCCTGCCTGTGGATCGATCAGCATTGCAAGCATCAGTCAGTCACGGCAAGGCGATGCATGGTCTGTCTATCTACGAGTGTATGGCTGTGGTTTGAGAGAGAGCGGGGGAGGAGCCGACTGACCTGGCCTAGCTGCTCACGTGCGTCTGCTTGCGTGTTGACAGGTGACTTGAAGATTGCAATGATATGCAGTTGTGTGCATCTGTGTGTGTGACTGAGTGACAGCGCGGCGTGAGCCATTTCGTGAAGCTCATCACTGTGGGGCGGTGGGTAGCTTGTCGATTGGTACGGACACATGCCTATTGCGTATGCCTACAGACGTGGTTTCCTCAACGCGCGTACCATCGTGGAACGGGGCCCTGGAAAACCAGAACCAGCGGCAGATTGCTGCATCTCTTGACGAACCATTCCCCTCCCCGACAAGCAGAATGGGACGGCTGCGTGACAGCAGTGACAGCTATGCGGTGCGGATTTTGCTGTGCGAGGTCGCCAACACGGTGCTGGACGAGGGCCTCCGCGAGTGTCTGGCAGAGATCCTCCCGCAGTCGGAAATTGACCAGATCTACAGGTCGGTCGCAGAAAGAGCCGGAGATGAACCACACACGCCAAAGAAAGAAGCACCAATCTATCCATCGCCTGATCTGATTGAATGCGCTTCTCTGTCTGCTCTCTATTGATTGTCCTATGGATCCCTCTTCGTCCAGGTTTCGGTTTGATGCCGACAGGAGGATGGCGCTGGCCAGCCGAGTGCTGGCGCGGCACGTCATAGCCGACGAGGGAGGCTCCGACACCGACATGCTCGCCATCGACATCGAGCGCTCCAAGAAGGCTGGCAACAGACCCATCTGGGTGGGGTGGGGTGGGCCTGCACTGCACATCGGTAGCTGGACAGGCAGCATTCATTGCGCGTGGTCTGTCTGTGTACGTCTGTGTGTGCAGAAGCCCTCATCGCCCAAGGACCGATTCATCCACTTCAATGTGTCGGTAAGTCAAGTCAGCCAGCACACACTGGCATATATGACAGCTGATCGTGTGTGGTGTGTGAGATACCAATAGAAATGTGTGCGTGTGTGTTTGTTCAGCACGACAAGGACGTGGTGGTGTTGGCGGCCTCTCGCCAGCTGGTGGGCATTGACGTTATGAGAATCGCTACGACAAAAGAAGAGTACGTCAGGGAGGGAGGGAGGGATGGCACACCAACCTGTTGATGCCAGTGCCATGAAATGCATTCAGTCGTCCCCTCCGGGACTTCTTCGACAGTCTTCGCGGCTCTTTCAGCGCTCTCGAATGGTGCGCCAGCACTATGCCAAAAGTAGGTGCTTTCATGTGCAGTGTGTCTTGTTAATATGTAGGCGTTACATCACGCAGCCGGCTGGCGAGCGGGACCAGCTGGAACGATTCATGGAGTGAGTGAGTGAGCTATAGAGGGGAGGGAGGGAGGGATGGATGTCCCTATTCTGTTCTGTCGCTGCATTTGATTGCGTATGTGTGTGTATGAGAATGTGTGTGCCTGCTGGTCGGTCCTTCCTTGCTGCAGGTTGTGGACGATGAAGGAGGCCTACGTCAAGGCCATCGCAACCGGTACAAATCAATACACGCGAAATCAGGTGTTCACCACACCACCGGTGTTTTGACGCGGTCTCTCTTCTCGCGAATGAATCACATCAGGTCTCTATGTCGAGCCGCTGCGTCTGGAGTGTGTGTCAGAGTGCAACGGCGCCAGTACCAGCAGCACATCAACGCCACCACAAGCGTCCTTTGCCCTCGGGCCCATGAAGGTCGATGGCAAACCACTCGCCGTAAGAAAGAAAAGGCCGGGCGTTTCCATTCAGCGCTGCACTCACCATCAATCCATTCGTACCGTACGTGTGTGTGTGTGTGTGTGTGTGCGCCAGTCATTCTGTTTTCGCCACCTGCGGCAGCCCGATGGGTACATGATCTGCCTCGCCATGGGGCCCCACAAGGCTGCACACGAGCTATACGGCAGCTTCATACCCAACGTCCGTCCGTGAGCAGACCTCATAGAGAGATCCCATCCCGCTGGTCTGGCTGCCAACTAACTACCGATGCTCTGCTGCTGTCAGGATGTGTTGACGTGTCCGTACGACCCGCCCGCGGCGCTGACCGACGAGCAGGCAAGAGAAGGAGAGAGAGAGAGGGACCAGTCGTCGATTTGTGTATGGTATGGTATTCAGGTGTGGGTCGAGGCGGTTGACCTGACGGACCTCATCAACCGCTACACCATACCTGGGGCATTCTAGCTAGTGTGGCAGGCACTGTCTATCGACCCACTCATCTATCTACTCTACCTGGCTGGCCCGCCGTCTGTCAGTCAGCACAACAAAGGCTGTGCTGTGCTGTGCCGACGTGGGGCGGTGCGGTGCGGTGCGGTGCGGTGTGATGCGATCGGCATTTGTTCTTTCGTGTCTGTCAAGGCGATGGGAAGAACGCATCAGCTCTGCACACACAATGTGAGCGTCAGGACGATCGGGTCTTATGTGTCATTCGGTGTGGGTGAGTACGTCATACATGTCACACAGTCCAGTCAGTAAGGCAGGCCTACCAGCCCAGCCGCCAGTAGCATGTAGGCACATGTGACATGACTGCCGCAGACAGACAAAGGGCGCGGGAGGGAGGGATGGATGCATGGATGTCTGTGTACGCGCATGGCCGTGAGTGAGTGAGTGAGTGGGTCAGTCAGTCAGGCGATGCTCGAGTGCTGCAGGATTTGCTGTATCATGCCGCCCCAGGCGGCATGCAGGGTGTTCTCCGCTGACTTGAGCTTCCTCAGCAGAGCCAGGCTGTCACACGCCTGCACACACACGCACGCACGCACGCACACAGGGAGGCATGCTCGTATGTGAGACCGATGATCATCTGTTGATAGGGAGCCCTCTCTCTGCGTGACCTGTCTGTGAAATGTGGCCTTGAAAGCGTCGAATGCATCCCTTCTCGCCCTGCACACACCACACCGCATAAGGGGAGTTAAAGCAATGAATGCACTCTGCCAGATGAGATGGCGTGTTCAGTAATTACTTGAAGAGTCCCTTGTGCACCGGCGATCTGAACGACTCCACATCTGGCGACCTGTGAGGCAGGCAGACAGACAGACGCATGACATGGATGGCCTTGGCTCTGTGGGCGTCTGTGTCCTTTTTCTCCCTACATTCCCTCGAGAGGTCCCTCCCCCTCTTCCCCCTCTTCTTCTCCTTCCTGCTCTTCACCGTCCGCCCCCTCTGCCGCCTCGCCCTCCTCCCCCTCGTCATGCTGGCTCTCTTGTGTCTCACCCTCCCCACCAGGCCGGTACGAGTAGCCATCAGCCGACCATTCCTCACCTAAATGGATCCATCCATCCAGCCATCCATCCATCCAGTCATGTGTGCATTGGGTGTTTCGCTGAGCTGACTGAGTTGCAGCGCGTCGAAGTCTTCGCCCTCCCAAGTGCGGGCTGGGAATGGCTGCGAAGGGTCGAGTGGCGGTCTGTCGATTGCGACGTCGTCCCTGAACCGCCGCTTGAGCGACTTGCGCGCCACGTCGATGTCCTCATCGCCTGGGAGGGGGCTGAAGTGAATGAAGTGAGGCAGCGCGTCGACCAACGCCACGGACGCCTGCCAAACAGCACAGCACAGCACAGCGAAGACACAAATGGCCACACCGGACTCTTCCGTCCGTCAAAGTGTATACCTCAAAGTGCGCTGTGCACGAGGCGGCAAAGTCTTTGGCGACCTTGACTAGCACTCGCCGTATCCTCCCGTGCGCACGCTGCAACGCCTGAGACACACACACACACACACACACAGGTGAGAGGGAGACACAGGCAGACAGACACCCACACTCGCGTCGCTTACGGTGCGGGTCTTCTTCTCCCGCGCTCTCTCCGACTCACATAGCGCTCTGACCGACCATGTCAGCCACCACGCCACCACACATACACACAGACATGGGAGAAAAGGCGTTTGTTTGTTTGTTTGGTTATTGTTTACTTGACTTGGGCGGCGCAGTTGGGGTTGGCCAGCCCGGGGGTGAGTTGCTTCTCGTTGGCCTCTCGCTGCCGCTTGGACTCGCCCATCGCCAGTCGCAGCTCGTCCTCGGCCGCACCTACCTCACTCCTACATGAGAGAGGAGCCAATGGATTGATGTCTGTCTGTCAGTCTGCGTGGCTTGGCGGCTGACCTGAGGCGGTTTGTGTATCGCTGGCGCAGGTCAGCGAAGATGTTGGCGCCCAAGTGGGGCAGCACTGACTCGAGCAGCACCACACACAGCTGCCGCAGGGAAAGGCAAAACTGAAGCCAACACACACGACACGACAGAGACATGAAAGATACGAGACGCCGTCTCCGGGGGTGCGGTGCATCCACGTGACGTGCCTCGGTGTGCGACTCGTGTGCGGATGCCTTCATCGTCTCGAGGAACCTGGTCATGAAGTCCGGCACGCTGCCGCCATAGTTGCCCCTGGCCTCAGCCCCAATCTTGTCCACTGTCGGGTTGAACGGCTGTCCCTCCCTCCTCACCCCGCCCAGCAGCCGCCAGAGACACCCCTCACACAACGCGCCTTCGTGCTCATCATCCCCCTCGGACGGCTGCACGCGAGTCTCCTCGAGCATTGCCGTCAGCGGCTGCTCGACTGGTGGGTACATGGCCGCGGCCTTGTCGGTGAGGCACTCGAGCTTGGCGCACATGGTGCGGACGCTCAGCACCAGCACGCCTAATGCGCTTCTGCCCTCCATCGCCACAGCCGTGTGGTTGGCACGGCCGGATGCCGCCGCGGGGATCTCGGCGAGGTGGGGTGCGAGGGTGAGTTCGGCCGGCACGTTGGTGTGAGGGCTGAGAAGGGGGTGGTCTGGCTCTGCTGGTGCGAGGGTGCCGGTGGTGCTTGTGTTGCTGCCGATGAGGCGGAAGAGGTACACCAAGAACAGCTGCATCTGTTTGATGGCGCTGGCGTAGAGGGACGTCATGCTCCGCAACTGCTCCTGCGCCCGCCTCCGGGGCCCGCCGTGCTTCCTCCCGAGCCCCTCCCTCTCACAGAGACTCTCTATGGCGTCAGCACACGCCTGCTCGAACTCTTGCAGCGGTTCGGTCTGGCACAGTTCAGCTTCTTCGGTCAGTTTGTCGATCATGTCTGTCTGCGCCTGCTGCTTCTCGTCGAGGATGGCGTCGAGGGCGGCGGTTTCCTTGCGATAGAAATCCATTTCGAGGGCGCTGTAGGACTCGATCGTCGCGCATGTGGAGAGGTACTCGGTGTTGAGGCCCTTCAGGTAGCTGATGCCGCTGGTGCTCAAGGTCTTCAGCTCCTGCCAAGTTGCGAAGATGAAGACACGCGAGACCTGGCATGTGTCTCTTGGCCTACCCACCTTGATGAATGTGCGGCACTGGTCACACAGCTTGCCGTGGGCCTCCTTGACGTTCCTCTGACACCGCACATAGGAGACTTGGCAATGAAGCTGGTCTGTCTGTCTGTCTGTCTGGGTGTCTGTTTGTCTGTCTGTCAGTCCCTCTTTCTCACTTGGAAGGCGCTGTAGGCGGCGAGACTCTTGCCGTTGGGCAGCTTGGCCGACTCTTTTTCCACAACCTTCTTAAATGTCTCCTGAGCGTGCAGCAACCCCTCCTGACAGACACAGACATACACCACACCCACAGCCCACACGCCATCCATCAGACGTACCATTCCCGCACACACGCACATACACACACATCCAGAGGATCGCCCACGTCACGTGCCTGTGCGTTCTTGAAGTCGGCTTCTTGTTTCTCGCTTTTCTGCAGCAACGACAGCAGGTGCCTCTCCCATTTCTGGCGGTGCTGCTGCAGCTCTGCCAGTCGAGGCCGTTCCACTTCCACCTTGACCCGGCCCTTTCGGCTCTCGTGTCGCCTCAGCCGCTCGTCGAGCTGTCGGGCCGCCTCCTCCTCGGCCACCCGCAAAGTGCTGTCGGCACAGTCCTTGCTCATCCGCGACCGATCCTCAAACAGAGCGAACAGCACGTCACGGCAATGGGCCACCTTCTCCAGCAGCCATCCCTGGTCGACGCGCAGCTCGAATACCAACATCTTGTCAGCGTCTTCGCCGTGCTCGTCTCGCAGCATGGTCCTCGGGTCGACGACTGCCTCTGCAGGCTTCTCTTCTTCCTCCTCTGCTGCTGCAGCAGGTGGCTCCTCAACTGCCTTCTTGTCCGTCTTGCCAGGACTGGCAGGTTTTGCAGGTGGGGCGGCTTTGCCCTTGAGAGCTAAGGGCGGGGGCGGGGGCGGGGGCGGGGGCGGCTCCTCTTCATTCTCCTCTTCCTGCTGCTCTTCTCTCGGCGGCGGCTCAGAAAAGGTGAAGCGCTCGGCTATGTCCGCAAGAGTCGACTCACAAACGAAGTCGAGACCGCCTGATCCACAATAGACAGTCAAGGCAGGGATAAGGCAGAGAGAGAGAGAGAGAGAGACATGAAGTCGGCTTGGGGCGAGCATGCTTTGTGGTTTGTGCGTGTCTCACTGGGTGCCTTCCATTGCGGTTTGGTTGGCTCAGGGGGCGGGGGAGGAGGAGGAGACTCCACTGGCTTGGCTTTGTCCTTCTTGCCTTTCTTGTCAGGTGCCGGTGCTGCCTTAGGAGCTGCTGTCTCAGCGGGCGGGGCGGCGGCAGACTCCTCGTCCTGTCATCTCATCCAAAGCATCTGTTTTGTTTCCTTCTAGATGTACAAGACTGTGTCTCTTTCGGTGTGCCATGTGTGCTGCCTGCCTTCACCCCTACCTTCTTCTCCTGGTCCATCCGCCACTGCTTGAGAGTGATCATGTCAAAGACATGGCCCATCTTGCTCTGGTGGCCGTAGAATAGTGCCTCGAGCTTAGGGGTGAAGTCGGCGTGGATCTTGCAGAGGAGGGCGGCATGGTCGCGATAGGCCTGCTCGAGATCGTCCAGGGCAGCAAAGGAGGTGTCCACCAGGGCCTGCAGGCTCTCCTCGTCCGACGCCGACTTGATACTCCTGCGTGGCATGCAGAAGGAGAAAATGACGTACCCATTCGCTCATGGTCCCACAGCTGCAGTACCTGTTGATGTCGCTGAGGTGTTCCTCCCTGCTGGTGCAGTCATTCTGGTGTTCGATTTTGGTGTTTTCGATCCACCCCTGCTGGTCCTCCTCGGCGAGCCGCAACTCGTACTTCCACACGCGGTTGCGGTCCTCCACCTGCTGCAGGAATTTGACAAGCCGAAGGCAGGTACGGTGTTGCTCCTCGTCCATCTCCTGCAAACAAGACAAGACAAGACAAGACAATGGCTGAAAAAGGGGGAGAGAGAGAGAGAGAGAGAGAAGGATCGCACGCACCTGCACCCAGGCGGATGCACACTGCGCCATGGTGGAGTTATTGTCGAGGTGTTTCTGGGCGTGTGGTCTGATCTTGGCGTCGACGAGGCCCTTGAGGTCTTCGAAGCCGCCCCAAGCGCTGCGGGCATCGTACTCGGCCAACTCGACGCACAACTCGTCTGCACCCACCCATCCATCCATCCATCCCTGTATGTGACATGGGTGCCACCCCGACAGCCTCAATGACTAACCCAGGATGGTGTCGGCGAGGTGTGTGGTCTGCTGCTGCACCTGCCGGAAGCAGTCAAACAGCTTGTCATACTCCTCCTGCGTGACGTCGTTGACGCTGTTCAGCTCATCCTCGACACGTTTCAGCTGGCCGCTCTCCCACTTGTCCAGAGGCACGGCGAAGATCGAGCTGACCAGGGCCATGCGCTGCCGGTACACGCCGTCCTGTTTGGTTCGGAGGGCGTCGAATGCGTCCATAAGTGCGGGGGGCCGCCTGAGCTCGTGGCCCTGGTTGATGCGGGCCAGCGTGCGGCGAAGGGCGTAGCGGTGCCTGGAGAGACACAGACACACACACATTGGATGCGGTTTGCCTTCTGTGTGTGCGTATCTGTCTATGCGTCCTCTACCGCTGTTCCCTCCAACGTGCTAGGGCGCTATGCCACCTCTCCTTGCCCCGCTTGAGCTTCTCAATCCCGCTCAGCTTGAGCTTGGCACTCAGCTCGGCGAAGGCCTTCTTGTTCTCCAGCACGTTCACGTTCGTCTCGATGCAGTAGTCCTCGACCAGCCGCTCCACCTCTCCCTTAGGCACGTATGCGATGCTCATGAGCTTCTCCGACAGTGCCTTGAGCAGCGCCTCGTTGGTGTCCCGTCGCTTGCCCTCGAGCGTCTCCAGCTCAGCAGCAAAAGTCTGCACCCTCTGCTGGTATTTGCTGCCCCAAGCGTCCACCTCCACCAGCACCCCATCGATGTCGTGCCGCGTCATGTGGCCGAGGGTGTCCTCGCCTTCCGAACCAAACATGGGGTCACGGGAGGGGTCCACACTCGCCTCATCCCCCTCTCCCCCATCCTCTCTCCCACCCTCGCCCCGGTCTCGTTGCTCCTGCGTCTCTTTCTCCTGTTCTGCGGCTTTATCGGCGTCTCTCTCAATGATGCTTCTCTTGGGAAGTGTGGGCGCCTGCTCCAGAGGCCGCAGGAGAGCTTCCAGGAACTCCTCCAGCTTGGTGATGTCCTTCTGCATCCCCTGTGTGGCTGACTTGATGCCTTTCTCGAGTGTCTCCTCCACAGCGAAGTTCTCATCGTCATACAGGGCGAGGCTCTGGTCGTGCCGCGCCTTGAGCCGCTCCATCAGCCCCTTGACTCGGCCACCCGACCCGCCCACACCGCCTTCTTGAAGTTGAGGAGCCGTCAGTGTGGCCACTTTCTGCCTCGCCAGCCGCCGTTCGGCCTCTGCTGCACGGACCCTCTCAGATGCACCGGCGGGCAGAGAAGCACGCCGCTCTCTCTTCGGGCTCGGTGGCTTCGTGGCCTTCTTTTCATCGTCGACTTGCTCATCGTCAGAGGCCGCCTTGATCGAAGAGCGCTTGGCCCTCGCTTGTTTGACCTTTTTGTGGGCGTGGATGGCCTCTGCCAGCTTGAAGGTGTCCCGTAGGGCGGCCGCAAAGCTACTCGGCATCGTGTTTCCCGGCGCGGTGAGCTCCTTCTGCTTGGTGAGGCCCAGCAGGTCCTTGTCGAGGGTTTGGTCATTGCATTCGGTGCGTTGGTGATCCTGGAGGTTCAGGTTGGCCCTCAGATGCGCCACTGTCGCCATGCCGCTTGCCATAATAATGCAAAAGGCAAGCTAAGCTCGCGCCTGGAGTCTCTCGGCCCGGAAACCAAACAGGCCGCAAGGGAAGGTCTTTTCTCCGAGGGTTGCTCCTCTAGGAGTGCTTTTGACGAAAGATAAAGTCACTTACATAGTTTGCGATGCGTCCATCGATCCATCCGTCCATCGCATACGACACACAGCACCGCCCATAAGCTCTAAACCTACCCTCGCTCCCTCCAGTCGACGAAATCACCATGGTGCACTGCAGGAACCCGGGGTTGTGGCCAACCAATCGGTCGCAAAATCCCACCAAATCATGGTACAGGCCTGCCTGCCGACAACTAACACATACAATACATGGCTCCCTCCCTCCCTCCCTCTCTCCCCCTCTCTCTCTCTCCAAGACTCACAGAATCTCCACTTCTGGTTCATCCTCGGCCTCTCCCCCATAGCCGTCGCCCGCCCCACCCGCACCCACACCGCCCACGAAGCCCGGGAAGCCGCCGCGGGCCAGCCGCTGCTGACACGCCTGACGGACGTCATCTGGCAGGTGTGTGATGATCTGCCGGGCCGCACGCTGGCCGCTCAGGTACGCCCCTGTCAGCAGGCCGCCGTCCCACGTCGCCTCGCCTGCACACGAGAGGAGAGAGGAGGGAGGAGAGTGTGTGGGTGTGTCGGACTTGCAAGTCAGTGACCTGACTGACCTGCGAATACGAGGTGGCCGTCATATTCTGGGGCCGCGAGATCGGGGGCGTAGCATGTCGATGCATCCTGACCGACCCACCACACAAGGACAGACAGACAGACAGACAGACAGACAGAGGAGCACACCAAAGGCAGGTGCGACCGACGGCCTCATCGAGATGCGTGTGGATGGTAGGCCCTGTGTGTGGAGGTGAGGTGGGGTGAAGGTTGTGTAGGGTGCCCACCGGTGTGTGGTAGACCTGTCCGCCGAGTGTCTCAGGGTCGTTGTCCCAGTGCATCACTCTGGCGTCAAGCAGCGGAGGCAACACATGCAGATTCCCACCCTGTCATGACAGACATGACACACAGACAGACAGACAAAGAAACAAACCGATGGACCAACACACCACACCACAGCCGTACAAGACCTGCCTGCGGGGGTATGGTATTTGCCTGTGAGCATTTGCCTGTCTGCCTGTCTGTCTGTCTGGCCGGCGCCCTCTCACCCACGCCGCGCGACGCACCTGTGTGTGTTTGATGTGGTGGAACATCCCCTCGAGCACTCTCAGCACCTCTGGCAGCACCTGACATGGCAGAAGACAGACAGACAGACAGACAGACAGACAAGGGGCAGCGAGGCCGACCACATCATCTTGTGACTATGGATGGATGGATGGATGGATCCACTGAGTGGAGCAGGGCCGGCGACCCACCTCATGATCGCTCAGGCCGGCCCACTGGTTGCACAGCGGGGGGTGCACATGCGCACACACCACACCAGTCTTCCCTGTCACACACACACACACACACACACTCGAGCAAGAAGTCCCCCCAACAAGCGCGGCCGGCCAACCATATGCGTGCAGATTGAGGAACTGCATGGGCATGTCATGGCTCTGCTGCTGCTGCTGCTGCTGGTGCTGCTGCTGCTGGTGCTGCTGCTGCTGCTGGTGGTGGTTGGTGGACATGTGTCTGTGGGTAGCGCCCCAGTTGGGGGCATGGCCGTATCGCTCCCAGAGGGGGTGGATGCACCCGTCGGCCGGCGAGTGGATGGCGAACCGCATCACCACCCTCGTGTGGGAGCCCCAGCACATCTTGCTGATGGCATCGCGCTTCAGCCACGACAGGGCAGGGGAAAACACCGGCACACTGAATGACACACACAGGAACACCATAACAGCCATTCTATTTGTATTTGTGTGCGTGGGGGTGCACTCTGTCTGTGCCGACCCGACGGACCGTTTGCTGAGGTGTGGCGACTGGTTGATGTGTCCCTGGTTGGGGTGGCAGCCGTGGGCGGCCTTGAGCACACCCAGAGGAAAGGTGCACACCACATAGCGAGCCCGCCACTCCTACACACACACACACACAAATACACACACACACACACACACACATACAGACAGATCAGATCCCATCACACACATGACATGGCCACCGATTTGCCCACCGACCTTTTTGCAGTCTCTCGAGTCGTTAGTGAGTGTGACGATGACTCCGCCCGAGCCCCGGCTGTCGTGTTCGATGCCCCTGACGGCGCTGCCATACCTCACACACCTGGTGAGCCACCCATTGTGGCTCCGCAGCAGCGGCTCGATCGCCAGCCGACCGCACCCATTCACCAGCAGCCAGTCGCGACGCTCCTGCAGTTCCCCTGCCTCAAGCACCCGCACGTGTGTGTCTGCGGCCGCCATCTGCCTGAAGGCCTCGTGGCCCGTCTGCTGCAGCTCGAAGGCGTGGGCCTTGACGACCTCATCGCGGCTGGACGTGAGCAGGAGGTCGCTGCTCCAGGAAGTGCCGCGCAGCATCTCGGCGAGCTGCCAGGTGCGGTGATCCTCCTGCTCAGGAGTGAGGAGGCGCCCCCATCTGAACGTGGGCTGCTCCTGCTGCTGCTGTCCTTGTGGCTGGAGGAAGTCCATTGGGTGTGGGGCCGCGACGGGTATATCCCTCATGGAGCAGAGGGAGCCGTACTTGCGGGTGATGAGACGCTCGAGGACGGGCGTGTCGCGCCCCGCGTCCCAGTACAGGCCGCTCCGGCGGATGGCCCGGTCCTTGAGATACTTGACGGCGGCCTCGAGGTCGGTCAAGCCCTGCAGGGGCTGGACGACGTCCTCCCAGCTGACGGTGGGGGGGTTCATGACCACGGTGGCAGGGGGGACGTGGGGCAGAGAGGCCATGAAGGCCTGCACCAGTTGCTCGATCTCGTCGGCGTGCTCGATCCACTTGAGCGTCTCGTGCCACCTGGTGGTGTAGCCGCCCAGAGTGTACTTCTGGGAGAGGTCGTAGAGGGCCAGCTTCTCCCAGGGGGCGGGCTCCTGCTGCATGTGGCTGCACCGGTGCCAAGGGTTGCCCTGCACCAGTGCGGCCGCCCTGAGCTCCTCGTCCAGCAGCCGGAGCACGAGGCTGCACTTGGCCACCCGATTCTGGTCAAGCGTCACCTCCTTGCCGCCCTGCCGCCGCGTGTCGAAGTACATGGCCACCTCTGCTGAGTCCGCAAAACCAGACGGCCCCGTCACCCACCCCAGCGGCTGCCTCTGCTGCACGGCCGCCGCCAGCAGGGGGTTGGGTGAGGGGTTGGTGTCGTCGGCCTGTGGGGATGGGAGGAGTGGCCCCTGGACGTACTGGGCGCCGAGGTCGACCTGGACGGGGGCGGAGAAGAATGCAGGGTCTCTGAGCTGTGCGGACCTGATGCGGCCGCCGGCCTCGCCCCGCGCCTCCAGGATGCCCACCGTGAGGCCGTGCGTCAGCAGCTCGCGCGCGGCCACCAACCCTGATAATCAACCATTCAGGAAATACAGAGGCCGAGTGTGGGTGTGTCGCTCTACCCGCCCCCACCCCCCCACCCGCCCGAGCCAGCGCACCTGCACATCCCGCCCCGATGACGATGGCATCCAGGTCGAAGTTGCCGGCTCCCGCACGCCTCTCGGCGGCCACAGCGGCTGTGCCGCCCGCATGGCTCTCATCCGTGCGCTGTGCCCTCTCCTGCTGCTGCTTCAGGCGGCAGATGGTCCCAGCCGTGTGGAGGTGCAGCGTCTCGTCGGTGAGCCCGGCGGGGTCGAGTAATTCCGGTCGGAATGCAATCCGGGTGGCGTCACGGAGGCCGTGGATGCGCACGGCTTCGAGGTCGTGTCGCGCCTGGGCCTCCTGGATATCGGTGTAGGGGCCGTAGACGAACTCGTAGCCGTTGCAGACCAGGCGGGCGAAGTACTCGCGCCGCACATTGATGGTGATGCGCCAACCTGACAGACAGACAAGCAGCAAGACGTGACATATATGTGGTTGGTGGTGGTGGGCCGGGCCGTGCTGTGCTGTGCTGTGCCGTGATAGGTCTGCTGGCTGACCTTGTTCAGCGGGCACCTGTCGCGAGACGATCCCCTGCTCCTCCAGAAAACGACACAGCTCCTCTGGCAGACAGCAGACACCCAAAACGACAGACACCAAGACACGTCCAGCTGCCCTGCCCACACATGTCCCCCATCCCCTCGCATGCTTGCCCACCGGCAGGCCCAGGCCCAGGTCCTTGACCCATCGCCACCGCAAACTGCGGAGGGGGCGGCAGCAGGGGCACCTCCATCGGCGGCAAAACCGGCAGCGCTGCAGCAGCGGCAGCACCAGCCTCACCCCCACCACCTGGCGAAGGGCGGTCGCTCATCCGATCAGCGTCCCCCTCTCCCCGCCCCTCCACGTCGATGTCCATAGTGTCGTCATAGTGGGAGAGGTCGGGTGCCTTGGGGAACCCGGGGCTCTCCTGTGTGGCCTTGCTGGGTATGCGGCCCGTGTCGCGGAAGTGCCGGTAGCACGCGAAGAGGAAGTCGGCCGTCTGCTGGACCTCATCGGCAGTGCACTGCCGGGGCGTCTTGCGGGCGAGGTCCTTCTTCGGCGTCGTGTGGGTGCCGTCGGGGTGCTCGTATGCCGGCACCGAAAGCACCAGCTTGCCCCCCTTCTCCTGATACCACACACCTGCCACACACACCACACACAGATCCATCCATCCATCCATCCACTCATCAACCAACCCGCTGAGAAAGAGCTCACGTGTGTCGCGCGGGAGGTCTCCCGGGAGCACCACCCTGCTGTCCGGAAAGCGCCAGAGCCTGAACTCCAGCCTGCCGTCGCCAAAGTCATCGGCATGGCCCTGCCGCACTCGCTCCTTCATCTCGGCACTCCAGGCCTGGATGCCCCAGCGCACCCAGCGGGCCTCCGCATCGGCCATGGAGCTGTCTGCACCTGTGTTCTCCGCTGGCTGGCCGGGGGGGAGTTGCGGCGGCGGCGGCAGTGGCAAGTGCAGGTGCGGGGGCTGCGCAGGTGCCGATTGGGGCATCTTGTTGTCCCACCCTTTCAACACAAGGTTTGGGTGGTCCTGGGCCCACTCACGGTAAGCTGATGGTTGACCAACACAGACAGACATGGTGAGACAGACACGTGTGGACGATGGATGAGTGAGGCACCTACCGTCGAAGACCTCCTGGGCGCGGCGTGTGATCTCCACCATCTGCTCGTCAGTGAAGCGCCCATGGGGCGTCCCCGGGCCGAGCGGCAGCCCGTCAAAGAGCTCCCCGGGCAGTGGCGTCGAGAAGGCCCTGCGAGTGCGATTGCGCACCGGCACCTCCAGATACAACTCCCTGATGCCGCCCGGCTTCTCCTGCACACACAACCCTGACACACACACACACAGAGAGAGAGACACCAGAACAAGGAGAAAGGCGTCCTGTGTTGCTCGTGCAGCGTCCGTCGTCTTTGTCTGTCTGTCTCTGTGTGATTGGATGGCTCGGCTCACGTGCGTCCCGCGGTATATCGCCATCTCTGGGCACGCCCATCCTGAAGAGGTCGGCCTCATCCAGCACTGCGGCACGACCGGCGGCAGCCGCGGCGGCGGCAGAGCTGGCATCATCCCTCTCGTCCCCATCGTCATCAGCGGACCCACCACCCCTCCCGGCCTGCCTCTTGCTGCGACCCCCCCTGCCGCGGCCCCGCCCGCGGGGCCTGCCTCCCCGACTGGGCCTTCTCACCTTGCTGTCGCCCCGGCTCTCGCTGCTCTGGCTTCGCGTCTGCGCAGGGCGGCTCTTGGGCCGGCCCTTGGCGCGACTGCCCTTTGGTCGGCCCCGCGGTCGGCCCCTCGGTCGACCAGGACCCCTCTTCCTCTCAACCGACGCCCCGCTCGCGGACGCCCCGCTCACCAGAGATGGCGGTGGCTCGGGCGCGGCCCCCTCAAGCTGCGGAGGTTCGGGTGGGGGAGGGGGAGGGATCGCTGCTGGCGGCAGGTCCTGCTGTCCGAACGGCAGAGGTTGGTCCATCATGTTCATGTCGGCACCGCCCCAGTTGTCGTAGCCCATTGGAGGCGGGGGGTGGTGGTGGTGGTCGGGGGGGTCCTGGTCCTGGTCTGGAATGTAAGGCGGGAACAGGGGAGGCGGTACTGGGTCGACGACGTCGTTGTTGTCCTGGTGAGGAGGACCGAATGCGGGCGACAGGTCATCCCCTGGGGGCGCCAGGGGGGGCGGGGGCGGGAAGCTCGGCAGACCCACCCCGCCATCGCCATCGCCACCACCACCATGCTCACCGTCCGGGAGAGCTTCTTCCTCCTGCTCTTCCACCTGCGGCTCTTCCATCTGTGCCTCGGGGGCTGGTGGCGGGGGCGAAGGGGGACTCTGCTGCTGCTCTTGTTGCTGTGCTGTCCGCTCCTGCTCTTGCAGCGCCTCGCGTGCGGCCCGTTGTGCGAGGGCGGCCTTCTCCTTCCGTTGTACGGCGGCGGCTTTCTCTTCCTTGGCCGTTAGGCGCTGGTGGGCCCTGACCTCAGCCACCGCATCCTCTCCAGAATTGCCGTCTCGCTCAGCCAGCCTGCACATAACGACAGACGGCATGACCAGACTGCATATGCCAGCCAGCATTGGCCGAGGTGGTGGCAAGTTACTTGCGGCTCTTCTTGCGGTTCCGCCTGGCTCTTCTGGGCCCAAAGCCGTCGTCATCTGCCGCTGCCGAAGTGCCCGACGCCGAGCCGTGACCCTCCCCAGCATGGTCTAGGTCGCGCGCCTCTCTGGCCTCTAAGGCCATGGCCTTGTCGCGGCGCTCCCTGTACCTGTCGAAGAGGATGTCTGCGGCCTGCTGGACGTCGTCTTTGGTACGGCCGTTGAGTCGGCGTGAGAAGTCCCACTTGGTCTTGGTGGCCTGGGCAGTCCACACCTCCAGGAACAAGTCGAGCACGCCGTTGTCCTTCTCCTTCAGAAGCAGACCTGATCGACCACACACGACCGATTCACTCGTTGAGTGTGTGTGTGTGCGCGTGAGTCTTGGGCTTACGCGAGCGCTTCGGCAGGTCGTCCGGCCTGGGTATCTTGTACCCGAGCACACCGTAGATGGCATCTCCATGAAGGGGGGCAGCAGCAGCAGCAGCCGCCTCATCTCCCCCTACACCGCCATCACCAGCCGCATTGGCCGCACCACCACCAGCGGCAGCAGCTGCTGCTGCCGATGCAGAAGCTGAAGCTGATGCAGATGCAGACGCGCTTTCCCCAAGAGGGTTGGGATTGGCCGTCCTCTGCGGTCTGGCATCCTTGCCGACACATGCGTCTTCCGCCACAGGGCTGTTGTCCTCATCCGGCTCCTGCACCGGCTTGATGAGCCTCCGCTTCTTGAAGCTCTTCTTGGCCGCCGGCTGGGGGCGCTCCGGCGCTGGGGCGAAGGGCTTGGGCGGGGACTCGACGTCATTCATCATGCTGCTGCCGTCAAGGAGGGACAGGAGAGGTGTGGCGCACACAGCACACAGACAGACACAGCACACATCTGAGATCACTGACTGCAGGTTTCCCTCTCGTCTGCTCGCCTTGGGTGTGAGAGGGTCAGTGCCTTGGATGATGAGCAAATGCAAGCATCATCATCAGTGACCTCCGTGAGGCAGGCTACTCGAGAAGCATTCCGTGCGATGCATCTACCTCTATGGTAGGAGACGGTCGTCGCAGCACAATGAGCTACTCAGATCTAGCACACCTGCTCATTTCGTTTTGCGAGCTTCTTCAGGTAACTGATTTCTGCTCTTCCCAAACAAACTTCACGTTCGTTCGGTCGCCAGTTCGTTCGTTGGTTCGTTATAACCTCACAACTTTGCCTTGCCTGGCACGGATTTCAGCTTTGGATTTGTTGCTGGTTCCATTCCGTTGCGACGGAGATGCATCACAACAGGCGCCGCGAGGTGGAGAACTACACACAGCTGCGGGCCTCGCGAAAGGTGCGGCAACCGCAGACAGACAGACACACGAATGCCATGCCGCCGACAGGCGGACAGATGCACTCTTCCCGTTGTCTTTGGCTTTCTCCCCTTGTGTGTCGTGTGTGTCATGTTTGTCGTCGCATCTGATCTGATTCAGGAGTTGGAGGATGCTTCGCTGGCGTCGCTCCAGAGCAGCATCCGCACCGCCGCCGAGACCACACAAACAGCTGATGCCACCGCTTCCAGACTCAACGAACAAACAGGTGGGTCACTCACCCTGGGACTGTTGGTGCCCCGGCACACTTATACACACACGTGACTGTCTGTCTGTCTGTCTGTGGTGCATATCGCATCCCTCGTCTGTCCTGACGACCTGCGTGTGTCAGACCAGCTGCACCGTGTCCGCGACACGGCTGATGACATTTCGCACAACCTGGACACCTCCCAGCACATCCTCAACGGCATGAAGTCCTGGTGGGGGTCAATGACCAACGCCTTCAAGAAACCACCACAGCGCACGGACTCTCACAGCAACAAAGACCCCAACGCCGCCAAGAAGGACACCACCGCCACCAGCGGCGGCAGCAGGGACAAAGGGGGAGCAAAGACCGCTTCCCCGAACCCTGCAGCAGCAGCACAGGTGAACGCCTGAAGGAATCGCGAGATTGTGTCGGGTGGAGATTTTTTGGCTCTGTTTGTTGTCCTGGTGTGTGTGTGTGTGTGTGTGTGCAGGGAGGTCGGCTGTCTGGCGGTGATGCATCGGGTGTGGGTGGTGGTGGTGGTGGTGGTGGCTCGGGTCCGCCCAAGTCGGCGTTCGACCAGCAGCTTGACCAGGGGCTCGGGCAGCTGGAAACACTGGTAGGCAGAGATGGAACGAACGACAAGACAGCACGACGCGAATAATGGCTTGACGTCCCTGTGCTTCTGTTGCAGCTGGAGGGGCTTCATGACCGGTCCAAAGAGATCAATCGCACGCTGAACAACCAGAACCAAATGGTCAGGCAAACTCCCAAGAGACAGACCTACCCCTCCGAGCGAGAATCTGTTCTGTGTGCGTCTGTCTGTCTGTCTGTCTGTGGTCAGATTGGTGACATTCACGACCGCGTCGACCGCAACAACGCCAAGATGGACAAACAGCGCAAGGAGATCAAGCAGATACTCAAGCGATAGATGACGCCACTGACGCACACCCTACTGGGGCATATATATACTGGGGCGTTTACACCCTCTGTGTAAGGGCCACTTGACACTTCTTTTTCTTTTGGTGTGTGGTGGGTGGGGGGTGGTGGGGGGGTGGGTGATTCCCTGACTGACGCAAGTCGTCCTTGTGGAAAGCTCTTCGTGTGTGTGTGCGTAAGTTGCGGCCAGGCCGCCGATCTGCCTGTCTGTGCGTTGGGGGAGGGGTGGGGGATGGCCCTGCCTGCTATCCCGGCGGTGTGCGTGTGCGTGCCATGTGTTGTGCAGCTGACTGACTTGATGATGCCTGCCTGCATGTATTGTGCGTTTTTGGGGGTGGGGATGAACTTTGGCTTACTTGTGGTATGCCGTGAACGTATCCATCCACCCGTCCATTCGTTCGTCCATCCGTCATACGCACCGCACCGCACACCAACTGGGTCTCGCCTCGCCTCGCCTCGCCTCGCCTCTCCTTCTCAACTAACTGTCTGCCCCTCTCCCCATCTCTCTATGTACACGAAACACCCATCCACCCACCCATGCCATCCATAGATACCCATGTGTCATATCAACTCTTGCCCGCAGGGACACCTCCCCGCGCCAGCCAACCCCCTCCTCCCTCCCTCCCTACCGCGGCACCAACCGACTCCCCCGACTCCTTGTCCTCTCCGTCGACTTGTCCTCGACCGCGCTGCTGCCGAGGTCGTCAGGGTAGTCGAGAGCGATCAGATGGTCGATGGGATGCAGTGGTGGCCATGGCGAATCAGCATACTCAGGGTCCGCCCTTGTTGTCTGTGCCTTCGCCCTCGCCCGCGCCTCCCGCCTGCGCCTGTGGGCATCGGCGTCAGCCCACTCATATATATCGTCGAGGTCCTCTGTGTGGCACACGGGGCAAGTTGGGAAGCGCACGGGCCTCCTGAAGGATGAGGGGCGAATGCGCCACCAGGCGGCCGGCAGCTGGGGTCTTCCGCCGCTTGTGCGAGACGACCAGACCCACTGGCGAGCCATCCTTGCCACCCTGCCGTGAGACAACAAGGATTGGAAGCAGCACACGAAGCCGTGCATCCGCGAACAACCCTGCAGCATCTGATATGAGCGTGTCGGCATCTTACGGTGGGCGATGACGGCGATACCACCACATGCGGGATGGAGCCATCGCCGGACTTCCCGGCCTCCAAAGCGCCTGCCCCCTCGCCCCATGCATCCCTGTGTGCTGCCCCCTTCTGCACGACCGCCTCGCCCGATGCCTCGCTGGCGGCCGAGAGGAAGTCGGTTCTGTCTCCGCTGCTGCCGCTCGACAAAGGCTGGTTGCCTCGCCTGTGGGCCTTGGCGGGCGGGGGGACTTTGAGGAATGGCCGATCGTCGGGCGGCATGTGAGAGCTGCGGGGCATGTAGGTGCGTCGCCGACGGGGCTGCCTGCGCTCAATGAATTGAACGCAGCGGCAACAGAAAGACAGAAAGGGAGAAGGAGTCCATCGCTCGTCGCTGCATGTCTGTCTGTCGTATACACTATGCTCACCGCCTCCTCCTGGCTCTCATCTCGATGCATCCCCACACTTGGCGGCCGTCCAGCTCCGCAGACGCGCACATCCCGTGGTGACGTACTGCGTGAGCCTCATGATACCTCCCCACAGCTGGGCCCAGAAGGAGGCCTGCCGCCGCTCCCGCCGCATGCGCTCCTCCCTCTGCTGGGGCGACAGACGTTGGAGATTGACCACACGCAGATACTTCACCTGTATGTCACATCATGCACAATGATGTCACATATGGTCTGTGTGAGTGAGTGAGTGAGTGAGTGCGTGAGAGTGCGTGAATTCTGCTGTGCCGGTCAAGTGCCAGCTGACCTTTCGTTCGCATCTTTCTGCGGCAGCCCGCTTCCTGGTGGCGGAGAGGAAAGACCTGCGGTGGCCCACACTGCCTCGCCGCTGGACGCCGCCAAAGGGCTCCTCGCTCGACGCCGCGCTGCTGTCCATCAGCTAAAGGCGTAGGCGTGTGTCAGCCGCTAAACATGCTTCCTTCGTAGAAAGCGGGGCATCTCGCTGGCCGAGCGATGTGCATGCCGCCCTGCAGGCAACCTGCGGACACACGCAAGTCAATTGCGTTATCGGAGGGTTTGGGGTCAAGGGTTTGGCGGATCGCGCGAGCTTTTGATGTCTGAGTCCGCGTGAGTGGCCTCGTCCCCTCCTGTCAGGTCCAGCAGCACATACAGGGCCAACCAGAAGGAGTGGAATGGAAATTCGCCCTTTTCTGTGTGAATGTGTGTATCTGCAGGCGCAAACAGTGAAGTGGAGAGATTTCGAGCGCACTGTGGTGCTGCGGTGTCAGTCCTCTATCTGGTATATCATGTTTGCGGCGCCCCTGATTGCATCGCTCCTGATTCTCTCGCTCCTCCAGCCATGTTGGCTCTGGCTGCTCCGCCACCCGATGTCCATGATGCAGATCTCGCCAACAAGTGCGCCTCTCCATCAGCAGCACCCTGCCGCCCTCCCAATCTCCCCTGCCATGACATCATCTGATGAGTCCTTGATGCGCCGATGCGTCACTCTGGCTACCCGAGCTCTCGGCCGGACCCGGCCCAACCCGCCGGTCGGCTGCGTCATTGTGACCCCCGATGGCCGCATTGTGGGAGAGGGCTACCATCCGAAGGCTGGGGAGCCCCACGCTGAAGTGTTTGCGCTGAGGCAGGCGGGCGACCTGGCGAGAGGGTCAACAGCGTATGTGTCGCTGGAGCCGTGCAGCCACCACGGCAGGACGCCGCCGTGCTGCGATGCGCTCCTCGCTGCTGGGGTGGCTCGGGTTGTCGCTGGAGTGGTCGACCCCAACCCACGGGTCAGCGGAGGGGGTCTGGCCAAGCTGAGAGAGCATGGCGTGGAGGTCACAGTGATGGATGACGACTCTTGTCGGGAGGTGCTGGCGCCCTTCTTTCGGCGGATCGGCGGCAAGAGCCTGTATGGGAGTGTGATGGGCATCGTGACCGACGACGGGTTTGAGGCGATGCTGCCCTGGCCGCTCGAGGCCATGGGGGACGACTGCAAGTGGGAGAGCTCAGAGGTGCCGCTAATGTGGCAGCAGAGAGTGCAGGCGGACGCTGTGGTCATCGACTGCGATGGGCTCCCAAACACCAGCTCACTCATCGAGTCAGCTGCACGGCTGCCGGCATCTGTTGCCCGTGTCCTTCTGATAGCCTCGGCGGCCAACCTGCCGACGAGCGACGCACTTCGGCTGCTTGCCAAAGACAGTTCTCTTCTCATCTTTTGCGGCGAAGAACTGCCGAGTGAGCTATCAAAGGAGGTTGGGGCGAGGGTGTTGCCTGTTGGTGGTGATGTGCCCGTGCAGGAGGTGGCTGACCTGCTGAATGGCGAGGGGATGATGAGTGTCGCGTGGGCCGTGGGTGACAACCTCCGTGCCGACCTGCTTCAGGGTGGTTTGGTTCAGCGGTTGGTGTTTGTGTTGGATGGAATGGGGTGCAGTGTGTGTGCGGAGGGGGATGTGTTAGGAGGCTGGGGCCTTGACGCCAATGACGTGTCAAGGAGGCAGGTGGAGCCGTGCTCAGACGGGAGGGAGATAATACATTTGGACTTGGCTGACGCTTGTGGCTGAATTTATGTGATCACATGCTGCGGCACACTTTCAATAATCGCATTTGATTGAGACATGAAAGTTTGTCCATTGCATGAATTCATCAGAGATCAGCACACACCTCTATCTATATGATGATAGGTGGGAGGTGGATAGGGGGGGGGGGGGATCGTCACACCACTCAACGCATCACACACACCCACTTCATCCCACCCAGTGTCTCAAAAACCACTCAACGAGATAGAGGGGGCACGATTCCCGTCAGATTCTCACGCAACGCAGAGGGTCATGAAAATCGAATATGTATCGACCATCGCGGGTGAGCTCTTGATACTTGTTGTTCCTCTTCGGCAAGAAACGCTGCCGGATGGCGTCATCAAGAGACTCGGTGAGCATCGAAGATGGGTCAACTCGAAAGCATGTCACACCTTTGCACTCCTGTTGCTGAAAAGTGAAGATGCCGTGCCTTGCAAGTATTTTGTCAGAAAAGAGCATGGCGTGTCTCTGCAGATCAACAAGAAGAGGAAAGCCCTCCGGTTCCCTGGGCGGCATTGTGACGGCAAGCGCTTGAAAGCTGCCATGTTCGTAGGGCTCTGACATTCCCCCTCTCCTGGCTTTTCTGCTCGCGGAACTAATATACGCAAGCCCATTTCTTGCGTCCCACCATGGGCATTCATGCTGAATAGAAAAGGCATTACAGAAGCCCTCAAGCTCGTTGGGAAGACGGAGGATGAAGCTCATGTTGGCTGCCGGAGGCCCCCATATGCGGTCAACCGTGGAACCGGTGCGATAGCCAAAGGATCGGAGGCCCACGAAGGAGAGAAAACGCTCCCACAGTAAGGTTGAAGCTATCTCTCCTCTTTCTCTCGGTCCGCAGAAATCAAGAACCTTCCCGATTGGATACGTCCGTGTTTCTGGATAGTGGTAGAGAGTCAGCAGCTTCCGGCCAACAAAGTTGTCATCCAATGGCGAGAAAGAAACCTCAGCGTTTCTATCAGCCGTGTCGTCTTGCTTGAGACAATAAGTGATCCTCTTGTTGCTTGCCTCCGGATGCAGCCACATCTTTCTGGTCGTCAAAGTCACCGCAATCGACAGAAGGCACTGATGTAGGTCAGAGTAACGATGATAGTTGCACACAAACCGCCATGTGTTGCTTTTGAAGTCTCTCTCAGTTGACTTGACAGAGATAGGCAGCCAGGGAGCATTCCGTGCAGGCCCAGATGGCCGCACAATGATGTCAATTCCGATGTTTTGGTGCTCAGCTGCAAGATATCGCACCTCCAGGCCCTCTCCTGGTGCGCAGCCCTTATTCCAGTCGTCGACGGCACGCAGGAAGAGAAGCGTCGCGGGTTGCGGTTCTTTCGATATCGAGATTTTTATGCCGCTTCTCGGTCTCAGGCAGCCTGAGGGTGGCACGTGAAAGGGCGCGCTGCAGATGCTCCAGTGCCAGCCTCACATCGTCCCTGTAACCGACATCCTGCATGCGACGATATCCCTCTTGATTCATGGCCCACTCCATTGCAAACGGATAAATGACGGGTGCCGACAGGTGTGGTGTCACGATGGCTCCATTGCGGGATGAGGACAGCCGGGCAGGGGCCGCAGATGGCGACGCGCCGACATCCCGCAAGATAGACGAGGCGATAGCAGAAGGCGCCTCCTCAATTGTTGTTTCTTTGGCGGTTTGCAGGTCTGAGAGCCTCTCTTTCTTGCTTGGGATAGCCTGCGAGGCACTTGCAAAGCCGCCTTGGACACCCGTGGTCCAGAGAAGCCGCCATGCTGCCATGGCCGGAAGAGTGCCGATGAATGACCTCCGAGGACGGTGCAGAAGCAGCAGAAAGACGTTTGTGGTGGCCTGCGTGGCAAAGGGCTTAGCACAGAGGCCAGCAGGCGTCGGAAAAGGGCCATTTCCCGGCAAGACTTGACGCGAGCTTGAAGTTTGGGAGCCTCGACTTAGGGACGTGCGTGAAACCGTGTCGCTGAATAGCTGAGGTGGTGGACTCGGAGGTGCCGGAGGCGCTGCTGGGGGAGCGGTGTCCGCAGCGAGGGCTCAACGGTAGATCATGTTTGGAGGGACGGCGCCAGCAGAGGCACCGGCCGCCAAGGTAGCCGAATATGACTACAAGTTCAAGTGTGAGCAAAAAAGCACACAGAAAGACGCTGCACAATTGCAACGCCAAATGCCTTTCCTTGTCCTTGTCTGATCTGCGCCGTGTGGCTTCCCCTCATCGCCAGTGGTGCTCATCGGTAGGCGGGCGCCAAGAAGCCCAAGCATCCTTTGCTATCTTTGTGTGTTGCCACTATGTGTGTGTGCAGGTGAGAGGGATGTGGGGAAGACCTTTTTGCTGCGGCGCTATATCGCAGGTGGGTGTAGTGTGTTCTCTTTTTGCTGACGGCCGGCACCTTGCTGCCTGTGTGTGACTCATGGCTGCCTGCCTTCAGGCGATGCTGCCGAGCGTCCCACGACTACTCTTGGTACGGACTATCAGAGCAAGACCATAGTCCTCAAAAACGGGGCCAGACTCAGGGCGCAGATATGGTGAGTCAGTTTTGTGTGAGAGGGAAAGAGGGCCTTCCCATGGATGGCGTCACGTCACGTCACGTCACGCGCCTGTCGTCCCTGTGTTGTGTGTGGTGTTTGGACCTGCAGGGATACGGCTGGTCAGGAGCGGTACAAGGCTCTCACCACGGGATTCTTTCGAAAAGCCGAAGGTGAGACCTCCCCCCGTCCTAAGGCAGACACTCCCTGTCTGTCTGTCTGTGTCTGTCTGTCTGTGTGTGTTGTCCAGGCGCCTTGCTGGTTTTTGACCTCACTCGACGGGATACCTTCCTTAAGGTAAGTACACATCCGCCCTTATGCGTCTGTCTGCCATGGTGTGTGTGTGCGTGTGTGTGTGTATGTTGTGGTGTCTGTACAGTGTTCGGCGTGGCTGGAGGCGCTGGAGCGGTACGCGGATGCCGACTGCCAGATCTTCCTGGTCGGCAACAAGCTAGACCTCGTCCAGGCCGACCCCTCGCTCAGAGAAATATCCACCGACGAGGCGCAAAAGTCAGTCAGTCATTCAGCCAGCCAGTCAGCGAGCCCACACCAAACCGCAGGCACAACCAGTGGGCGCGTGTTCGTTCGTTCGTTTGACTGATTGGTTGTATGTATGTGTGTGTGCAGGTTTGCGGTCGATAAGGATGTGGAGTACGTCGAGACCTCCGCCGAGACCTCACACAACGTCAACAGCTCATTCGAAGACCTAATGGCATGTACGCGGACGCACCATACCACACCACACCACAGCCACAGCCAGCCTCCCGGCTCGACGAGTGTCCGTGTGCGGTGTGTGTGTTGCTCTCTCTGTTCTGCAGACGTGTACACGGCCCAGGTAGAGGCCAACGACGACTCGACTGGCGACACCAAGGCGTCTTACGACGGGCAGGGGTCGAAGGGCGGGTTCTTCTCCCTCTCCCGCACTCAGACCAAGGCGGGCTCCATCTCGCTCACCGGAGGGGCGGATGCCGGTGGACCCACACAGACATGCGGCGGGTGTGCGGGCTGACTGAGTGGAGCAGAGCATATGGCATGGGTGGTGGGTTCGTGGGGGGTTGATGTCTCATGTATCTCTATATCTCTATGTCTCTGTTGGTCAGTCCGTCTGTCAGTCATTCGGTGAGTGAGTGAGTGTTTTGCGTGGCCTTTTATAATTCAAAAGTGGTTCAAAAGTGATTGTATTGGTACGTCTACACCTGCGTGAGGGTGAGGGTGTGGGGGGGGCGAGGGAGTGCGTGGGCGACAGGTTTGTCTCGCTGTACATGAATCGAATCAATGACATTACGCTGATGCATATGGCTGTTAGTTATATATACGGGTGAGGTGGCTGATTGCCTTGCCGTGTGCAGAGCTGCTGATGGTGAAGCCAAAACTGTATGATGTGATGTTGTGTGTGCATGAATTGTGTCTGCACGACAGAGAGAATGACCTACAGATGGATGCTCAATCACATGTGGATGTGTCTACGCCTGAGTGCCCCGGGGACGTCCCCCCTGCCCCGACCACACGAAGGAAAAATGTCCCAGTGGATGACGAACAAGAGAAGCAAACTTGTATGCCATCCCCATTGCGCTTTGGCACAGACAGCCAACACCTCTCCCAATGCCCAACGGCAGGCAGAGTCTGTCGGTGTCTCATGAAATGAACTGCGTCAATCGACTCGACCAACCCTCAATCATGCGACAAACATGCCAGCCAGCACCATCTTCAGCGCCCGGCTGACGTATGTATCTTCCAGCGGCGCGGCCCACCACGAACACACATCCTCGCACTATGCGCCAACGCAACAGACAGACAGACAGACGAGAGACGAGCAAGAATTGACCTAATCACCTGGCTATACGACTTGTCTGCCCACGGAGCCTTGGTGCGCAGCTTCTCTCTCTACCAGGCGGCTGAAAAAAAACTCTCCCAATCACTGCCAGCATCACATATGAAGAAAAAAGACAACGCAGCAAATCCCCTCCCTCCCTCCCTCCCTCCCATGTATGTGTGTATGTGTGTATGTGTGTATGTGTGTATGTATGTATATCAGCACTGCGGTACGCACACATGTCAGTGAAGGCAGCTTTCGGTGAATGAGTTGTCAGACAACTCAGTGCACTTTACTTCATCGCATTCATCCATCCATCCGTTCAGGCCGCATCGGTCCACCCGCCCCTGTGTGAAGGTTGTGTGTGCGCAGACACCCCATCAGATGCATCCCGCCACTTCCATGGAAGCCTCACTGTGTATGCGTGTGTCACCAGAGCGTAGGCAGACAGACAGCCAGACAGACAGACAGACGAAGTCGCTGGCCCGTGTCACAGACAAACAGACGCAGCAAATACGAACACATGACAGACAGACAGACAGACAGAGAGAGAGAGAGAGAGAGGGACGAGTAGACAGACGTGCGCGTACGATCGATTACCACACACACAAATGTATACATAGGTATATGTATATATATGTTTGTACGTACAGAGCAGTACACACTTACGTACATGATCGCATATGTGAGCCACATGAATATTCATGGCCAATGTGTTTGTCAGTCAGTCAGTCGGGCAGATGGCCGGACGAGCAGAGATGGACTGGACACACAGCACCCCTCCCTCACCTCCCCCGCCTCTTGTGTGTGTGTGTATCCTCTGGGTGTGTACGGATGGATGTGTATCAGCAATGCGGCACGCACACACACACAGAGACACTCAGACACTCAGACAGTCAGACAGAGGAAAGGCACGACAGCCAACACCTCTCCCAATGCCCAACGGCAGGCAGAGTCTGTCGGTGTCTCATGAAATGAACTGCGTCAATCGACTCGACCAGCCCTCAATCATGCGACAAACATGCCAGCCAGCACCATCTTCAGCGCCCGGCTGGCGTATGTATCTTCCAGCGGCGCCGCCCACCACGCACACACATCCTCGCACTACGCGCCAACGCAACAGACAGACAGACACACAGACAGACGAGCAAGAACCGACCTAATCACCTGGCTATACGACTTGTCTGCCCACGGAGCCTTGGTGCGCAGCTTCTCTCTCTACCAGGCGGCTGAAAAAACCCTCCCCCAATCAATGACTGCACTAGAGAGACCCTGTAATCCCGTGAAAAAGATCGGCCGATGGCACACAGCACATCGACATATACACCGCCTAGATCGAGCCATCCCAATTATCTCTGTGGGCCAGCCAACACGCCGCATGTGTCGGGCCATCCCTATGTGCGGGCGGCGGTCTCTCCGCGAAAAGCCCACGAACGAAAAAGGAAAAAGATGGACGTATGCATGTATGTATGTCGACGTACGTGATGCACACACACGACACGAACACGTGCAGATAGATAGACCACCGTCAACCTCCCCACTCACTGCGTCAACAGACAGACAGACAGACAGACAGCCAGCGGCGCTGCCTGACTCACTGACTGACTGACTTACAAAAGACCAGCCATCAATAATGGAAGCAGCAAAACCGACACATCCATCCCAGGCGATCAACAGGCGTACATGACATGCAGCCAGACATGACCCGTTCGTTCATTCGTCAGTCCATTTACTGCGTGGCCTCACGACTGACTGCACGGGGGCCGCAGCAGCTTGAACCAACGAACGAACGAAGGCGGTGGCGGTGCACCGACAAAACGGCACGCACGTCCAAAAAGGGTACGTTGTGCATGGTATCAGGCACGCTCGACGGCCGGGCGTCACGCATGTGTGAATTCATTTGTATGTATGCCGGTGTACGCAGTATCCACATACGTAGGTATATATGCCCCAAAGAGAGGGCAAAAAGCGCGCGGCGGCCATGACTCATGGCCGGCCGGCATCCCACACATGCAATGCAGTCAGCACCCAACCGACCAGCGAATGAATGGCCTCTCAAACATATGGACAATTCGCAGACAGGCAGACATATAGACACAAACACACAAACACTCACACAGGCATGGCTTGCCTCAAAAAAACGTGAGTGCAGCCCACACGCAGACACAGGTGCGTGTGTGCACACACGTAGACACATGGACACACGGACACACATACACGCGACCATGCAGGGGGAGTGGCGCAAAGATGACAGTCCACACCGCTCCAATCCCACACACACGACCCGCCTATAGCTCACAACCAGCCACTAGTCACCTCAGACGGATGGCGACAGGGGGGTGTCGACGTCCATGTCGTGCATGAACGGCACGCCCGTCCTCTCGCTGTGCGGCGTGCCGTTGTCGGCATGCGTCAGGATCGGTGTCACCTGGTGGGTAATCACGGCCTTCTTGACCAGGTGGTCCACGCCGCTCACCAGAGGTGCGTCGTGTGTGGGCTTGGGTGTGTGGGAGGGGGCGGGATTGACTACTTGGTTGTCGAGCCACTGGTGGTCTGGCGTCTGGCCGTCGAAGGAGGCGATGTTGCCGATGGTCGTCTTGGCAATCGCCTCGAGGGCCTCGTAGGTGAAGAACGCCTTCACGCACACGCAGAGAGAGAAAGAGGTAGATTGGACATGAGCATGGCTGTTGATTGGATGGTTAGGTACCTGGTGTGCGGTGACGAGTACGTTTGGGAATGTGAGTAGTCGCGCAATGACGTCGTCCTGGATGACCTCGTTGGACCAGTCCTCGAAGAACAGCTGAGCCTCGCCCTCGTACACATCAATCGCCAGACCACCAACCTGCACACACACGGATACACGAGTGGACCATGACCATGTGACATACACATTCACTCTGTGAGCACCTTCTTCGACTTGAGTGCTTCGATCATGTCCTTGCTGTTGATCACCGGCCCTGAACACGCGCGCGCGCGGGCGCGATGCGCACACACACGGACATGCATGACGCAGGCAGCGTGTGGCGACTACCTGCGGATGGTGCGTACCTCTAGACGTGTTGATAATGATGACGCCGGTCTTCATCTGTCCGATGGTCTTGTGGTCGATGAGGTGGCGGCTCTCGGCCGTGAGGGGGCAGTGCAGGGAGATGACGTCAGACGCCGCCAGTAGCTCGACCATCGGCGCATAACTCCCGCCGATTTTCTCGAATTCGGCGTCCGGGTACGGATCACTTCCTGCAGTTAGGCACAAGTGCATGCATCCATGCGTGCGATCAAGCAGCCCTTTCCGTGCCGTCAGGTGGCTGACCCAGTATGTTGGCACCGAACCCACTGCATATGCGAGCAGTGAGGCATCCGATCTTGCCCGTCCCGATGAATCCGAACGTCTTGCCTGACATGACACACGCGCACACGCATTCGTCCAGGGCACTGTGTGTCGCTGTGTGTGTGTATGTGTACCGTTGAAGTCCATGCCCTCCAAACCGTCCAGCGTGAAGTTGCGGTCACGCACACCTACAAACAGACACAGACATGCACACACATACCGACACTCAGATCGATCGTGCGTACGGTTGAAAGCCCGATGGAGGTTTCGATTGAGGCAGAGCATGAGGCCCACAGCGTGCTCCGCGACGGCGTGTGGCGAGTAGGCCGGCACACGGGTCACAGTGATGTTGCACCGCTCCGCGGCCGCCAGGTCCACTGAATGGACAGGACAAGAAAGAGCATTGCACAGAGACTGGGAGGGGTGCGCTGCGTTGTCTGTCCATTCTACCTCACCGTTGTTGAAGCCCGCGCACCTCAATGCGACCTGTCTGACGCCCATTTTGTTGAGCTCCTCGACGACGGCCGCGTCCACCTCGTCGTTGATGAACACACAGACGGCGTGGCAACCCTTTGCAAGACCAGCTGTCGCCTACCCATGAAGAGAGCACACACCAGACACACGTGTGTCTGCCTGGCTGTCTGTCTGTCTGATATATCCATCCCACTTGTGTGAGTCTTGCGTTGATGAATTCGAAGTCGATGTCATGGTGGTTGTGTGCGGTGAAAGATGCCTTGTCGTAGTCCTTGGCCGAGAAGAAAGCCACCTTGCACGGGCTGCTCGCCATGGTGCTGCTGCTGCTGCTGCCCTGCTGAGAGGGCAGGCAGTCGTAAGGCCGCACGAAGAAGTCACGCTCTATGTGCTGCAGGGAAGTCTCCATGATCTCTTGGTGATTCTGCACACACGCACACAGGAGGGAGGGAGAGAAAGTGATGGCATGCTTGACGTCGGCCAGTCAGCGCATCATGCACTGGGGCACACCCGAAGCTTGATGACGGATGAGGGAAGATCGACAAACGATGCAAACAGCTGGATGAGGTCTGATTGACCCTGCGAGGGATGCGGGCGTCTCGGCGTCTCTCTTTCCCATTCCCAAGCGTCAATTTGGGAAACTTCGTATTGGGACGTTGATGAGGGCAACCGACAGATCCCGAGCTTCATGTGATAGTTCACCAGCCGTCAGCAGCACTCACCCATGCCCTTCAAGATAATGGAAGCAGAGAATGCCGTCGCTTTCCAATGGATGGCGAACTCGCCTGCAGCACAGGTCGGTGCATCATGATTGCTTGGCGGGACTCGAATGCATGAACGCGCGCTTGTCTTGCAGACGGTGTTCTATCTGGCGCCCATCGCGTTCTTGTTGGCGACGCTCAAGCCCTGGGGCAAGCATGGTGTGCCCAGCCAGAAGTCGCTGCCAATCAGCGCCCTCCTGCGTAAGCACTGCAGTGAACTGCACTGGTGCACTGCACTGCACTGAACACTCTCGGCGACGTGCGTTGTGTGTTGTGCAATGGTTGGTTGGTTGCAGTGTATCTGATCCGGCTGGTGTTGATGCGTGGCATCGACTACGACACGCCCAACGTGCTTCACGCGGCGATAGTGTCGGGCCTGCTGGACGTCATGACGCCAGTCAGCATTATCTTCGGGGCCATCTTGCTCTTCCGAACAATGAGCGAAACCCAATGCATGTACGTGCGTACGTGACGTGGGTAGGGAACGCGCAGGGAGGACATGCAACGCGATCTGTTATATATATATATATGTGTGTGTGTGTGTGTGTGTGTGGTTGCAGGAGTTGGGTTGTGGCGATGCTCCATGATCTGTCCAGTCAGCACCCTGTGGCCGAGGTAATGCCACAAAAAGTACCCCAGCAGCTGGCTGCATCTCATATGTGTTGTGTGTATGACCCATCTAGGTGATGCTCATCGGCTGGGGCTTTGGGTACATCGTCGAAGGTGCGTCGGGATTCGGCACGCCTGTGGCTCTCGCGGCCCCAATATTGGCGGAGCTCGGCCACGACCCCATCAAGTCGGTCGTCTGCTGCCTCATCATGAACGGAATCCCAAGTGAGATGTGTGCCATCCATCCACCATTCACTGCTTGCCTCATGTTTTCGCGTGTGCAGACCCGTTTGGTGCTGTTGGCACTCCCGTGTGGTTTGGATTCTCTGCTGTGGCTGGGCATGGCGACACGTACTTCCCAGTCATCGCACAAAAAACCCAGACGCTCGTCCTGGTGTGCACCCTTGTGGTCCCCTTCACGGCCGTCATGGTGCTGGTACGCACGCCATATCACACTACAGCACACCACACCAGGACAGTGGGTCATGTATGTCTATGTAGGTGCCTCCCAAGGTCTGTCTGAGAAACGCGGGTTTCATCGTGCTGTCATGTCTGGCGTGTGGCGTGCCCAGCTATGCGCTCACATGGGCGCCAAACCCACTCTTCGAGTTCGCGTCGCTCATCGGCGGGATTGTGGGTACGCACCGCACACACACGCGCGCACATCCATCCCTCTGTGCGTACGTACGTGCGTGTGCAGGTTTTGCGCTGATCATGGTGCTGATCTACAACAGAGTGTTGCTGTTCCCCGACCACCCCCCAAAGTCAGCCAGCTCTTGCCGGCCCCCAGGCGGCCTCCGTCAATGCGACTTGAGGCCAGCAATGGTCATTCGCCGCGCCAACAGTGTCGACAAGCTCTCTCAGGAGACGACGTCGACAAACGATGACTGGGTCATTGAGGCGCCGCCCGCGGAGGTCACGCCTGGGCCGACCATGGACACGGCGTACGGACCTCTTCAAACGTATGGCATGGAGGTGGCCATCGTGATGACGAGGGACCAGCCCGTGCAATGTGACAGTATGGGGCCGCACCAACACGGGTGGGTGTTGTTTGGGCGGCCTGAGATCGCCCGCATGATGAGCGACGCGGAGGGTGCGCTGCCGTGCGAGCCGTCACTGGTGTCGATTGGGCGTGTGGAGGCGCGCAAGACTATGTGGGGGCGGCTGTTTGTCGCCGCTGAGAACACCTTTCCTATCTGGGGCTGTGTCGTGCTACTCATTCTGACGCGCGTGAGGGGCATTGGGCTCAAGCAGGCACTTACCGCAGAAGAGCCGTATGCAGAGGTACACATATGCGTGATGATCGATCTTCCAGTGCGTACGTGCGTGTGCGCGTGATGCAGGTGTCGTTGGGCCGTCTCGGAGCGTTTCGCGTCAGTGCGTCCCTGTCGCTCTTCCTGCGCGACATTCTCGCCCAGCCAGGCATTCACTGGCGGTTCCAGACGCTCTACGTGCCGGCGGTCATCCCCTTCGTGGTCATATCCCTCCTCACCATGGCACTGCACCGCAATCGGCTCCAAGCGTCGCCACTCGCCATTTTCGCCCAGACAGCCGCCAGACTCAGAGGCCCCATTATTGCGCTTGCCGGCGCCATGGCGCTCGTGAATCTGCTGCGGAGGTCATCTGAGGGGCTGGTGTCTCCCGCGACTAAGATCGGGGGTACGTTGTCTCGTGGTCTGGGCGTCGGGTGGGTCGTCGTGGCCCCTGTGCTTGGCGCGCTCGGGAGTTTTTTCTCTGGGTCGACGACGGTGTCCAACCTGACGTTTGGCGATATCCAGCGAGTAGCAGCAGAGCAACTGGTATGTGCATGTGTGCAGACAGGCATGCATGCAGCAATGGATTAATATGGTTGGTGTGTGTCGTGTGTCAGGGGTTCTCGGTATCATCCTTTCTGGCCCTCCAATGTATGGGCGGGGCGCTCGGCAACATGGTGAGCAGTGAATGGCCATCATTCATGGTCCACATGACAACAGAAAAACGTCTGTCTGTCTGTCTGTGTGTCGGTCAGATTTGCATCCACAACATTCTGGCCGCGAAGACCGTCCTTGGTCTGGATGTGCCCGAGGGGGAATTCATCAAGAAGACGGCCGTGCCGGCAGCCGTCTACTACATGCTGGGCCTGGCACTCGGTGCGGCGCTCATCTTCACTACTGCCTGGTGGGGCGCCATCGACTGACTTAGACAGACAGACAGATAGCCGTCCGTCTTTGGATGTGTTTCGTTGATAACATGGACAGCTGTGGTCGGTCGTGTGAGCGTGGGTGTAGGTAGGTTGCGCATGTACCTTTATGCGTGCGTGCGTGCGGTGCTTGTTCGTGTCGGTTGTTCGGGCCTCGTGTTCTGTCCACATGCCGATCTTTTTATCCACGTACAGTCAGTGTGTGGACTGCAAGCGGTCGTGTTATGTGGTCCTCTTTTCACGCGCGTGTATGCATATGCTGCGTACAGACGTCATGTTCTGGATGTTTTGAGAGGCCATTCATTCGCTGGTCGGTTGGGTGCTGACTGCATTGCATGTGTGGGATGCCGGCCGGCCGTCATGGCCGCCGCGCGCTTTTTGCCCTCTTTTTGTGCATATATGCCTACGTATGTGAATACTGCGTACACCGGCATACATACAAATGAATTCACACATGCGTGACGCTCGGCCGTCGAGCGTGCCTGATACCATGCACATCCCTTTTTGTATGTGCGTGCCGTTTTGTCGGTGCACCGCCACCGCCTTCCTTCGTTCGTTGGTTCAAGCTGCTGCGGCCCCCGTGCAGTCAGTCGTGAGGCCACGCAGTAAATGGACTGACGAATGAATGAACGGGTCATGTCTGGCTGCATGTCATGTACGCCTGTTGATCGCCTGGGATGGATGTGTCGGTTTTGCATGGCCTGTTGATCGCCTGGGATGGATGTGTCGGTTTTGCTGCTTGGATTGATGGCTGGTCTTTTGTAAGTCAGTCAGTGAGTCAGGCAGCGCCGCTGTCTGTCTGTCTGTCTGTCTGTTGACGCCGTGAGTGGGGAGGTTGACGGTGGTCTATCTGCACGTGTTCGTGTCGTGTGTGTGCATCACGTACGTCGACATACATACATACGGACATCCATGTTTTTCCTTTTTCGTTCGTGGGCTTTTTGCGGAGAGACCGCCGCCCGCACATGGGGATGGCCCGACACATGCGGCGTGTTGGCTGGCCCACAGAGATAATTGGGATGGGTCGACCTAGGCGGTATATATGTCGATGTGCTGGGTGCCATCGGCCGATCTTTTTCACGCGTGCCATTACATCTTTAGTGCAGTCATTGATTGGGAGAGGGCTTTTTCAGCCGCTTGGTAGATCGAGAAGCTGCGCACCAAGGCTCCGTGGGCAGACAAGTCGTATAGCCAGGTGATGGGGTCGTTTCGTGCTCGTCTGTCTGTCTGTCTGTTGCGTTGGCGCGTAGTGCGAGTGCGTGTGTGCGTGGTGGGCGGCGCCGCTGGAAGATACATACGCCAGCCGGGCGCTGAAGATGGTGCTGGCTGGCATGTTTGTCGCATGATTGAGGTTGGTCGAGTCGATTGACGCACTTCATTTCATGAGACACCGACAGGCTTTGCCTGCCGTTGCGCATGGGAGAGGTGTTGGCTGTCTGTGCCCGAAAGGCTTCTGTGGAAGCCCAATGGGGATGGCATATGTGGGGGGGCGAGGGAGTGGGTGAGGTGACTGATTGCCCTGCCGTGTGCAGAGCTGCTAATGGTGAAACCAAAACTGTATGAATGATGTCTGTGTGTGTGTCTGTGTGTGTGTGTGTGTGTGTGAATTGTGTCTGCACGACAGAGAGAATGACCTACAGATGGATGCTCAATCACATGTGGATGGAGCTCGATCGGTATGCTGCGTTGGTTTCAAGTTTCTGAAAGAGCATTTAGTGGCACGTCAAACACACACACACACACACGGGGGGAGACACACACGCCCGTATGTAAGTCAGTCAGTAGTAGCACGTCGAGTCAGTCAGTCGTCACAAAGAGGAGGAGGTGGAGGAAGGAGGAGGAAGGACATCGATCCATCCATCCATCTGTCCACCCACCAGTCGTCAGCCTAAGGCACACGCACATCCATTCATTCACGAAACACAGTGAGAGTGAGTGAGTGGATGCAGCCCCCCCGTCTCTCTCCCTCTCTCTGGGCCTTTAACACCCACACCACACCACACCAAGCCACAACACATCTCAGTCAGTCAGTCATCAGAGTCAAGAGCGTCCATCTGCCTGTGTGACGCCCTTCGCTCACCCCACCCACCCATCCACCCACAACAACTTAGACCGTCAACGGAGGGCGGGGGGAGGGAGGGAGGGAGGGAGGGAGGAATGACAAATGGCGTGTGCAGCAGGGCAAGGAGAGAGAGAAGCCAAGGAAAGAAGAATGTGGCGGCTAGGTGGTGTGGGTGTGGGGGTGTGGGCACTTGCTCTACCTAGCACCATCAAAAGCTGGATTGGATGGATGGAGGGATGGATATGGATCCACCCATTCACCATCTATCTCAAGACGGACGGACGGAAAAAGACGACAGCTGGATGAGCCGCCCAGCCGCCCGCCGGCCGGCGGCCGTGCTGCAACAGAGGAAGGTGGTCATTCGCTCCTTCGCTCACTCACTCACTGCGATCGATCAATGCACTTGCAGAGAGAGAGGAAGGACCCACACAGCTGGTGACAGAGAGCGGGGGCGGGGTGGTTAAAAAAGCAATAATCAGAAAAGGCCTCAATCCACTGTGCTGTGGGAGGGCGGGGAGAGCAAAGCACACGTGTGTGTGCGCGCGTGTGCGTGTGTGGGTGTGTGGGTGGGTGAGGGGG